GTTAACATTGCTCTTAAAAGCAAAGGCTCTTAGATTGGATTTCCAAATAAAACCTAATGATACACTATTACAAGAGACATTCCCAAAATAGATTTATACAGAAAATTGTAAAAATTGTACAAAACAGATTAAGCAGAAGCAAACAGAAACAGAATAACTAGCAGTCATAATAGTAAAATCAGGCAAGACAGGATGGAAGACCCTTAAAAAAGATAAAAAGACAACCATTAAAGAAATGAAATCCACAGTAACCTGTAGTCAGCACGAACAGTCATGTGCTAGGTAAGATATAATGCATAAAAACAAAACAAAACAAAAAAACATAAGGAAAAACTGTGATGAACAGAGATGGGAGCACTTTTTTTCGAACAGGAGAGCTCAGGGAAAAGCAAGTTAATAAGGATTACTAAAATAATATAAGACTTAATCATAAATATTTGGACTTTTCACCCTAAAAAATTAATATGCTTCCAAGAATATATAGAATTCAAGAATATATAGAACACTTACTGAAAAAAAAAAAGGATTGTATATTATGCCACAAATACACCTTAGAAATTTCAAGAAACAGAAGTTGTGTGGACTGCATTTTCTGATTACAGCACTAAAGGCACAACTCCCTTGCAGAAGGTCAGGTGATTAAAATGCCAACAAGTTGGAAATTTTACAGTTCCTTCCCAAGTAAGATGCGAACCAAAGAGAAAATCACATGCGGTTACCAACCATGAAAATCCTCCTGTCCCACAGATTTTATCCTGCAGCCTCGTCTACGCTCACTTCATGCATTTCCCTGTAATCATCTCATCGAATTCCAGTATTCCAGTCCTCATTTCTGGGTTAACACTCACATCCCCAGTCTAGATGTCTCTCCCGGGCTCCAAATCCAGTCACTTGCGCTCGGATATCATCCAGCTCTCTCAGTCTCAACACACTTACAGAAATTTCTCAAGTACTCCGAGCTGATCTGCCCTTCCTCAGGTTTTCCTGTTTCAGTTAATGGCACCACCCTCTATCTGCATGTCATCCTTACGTCCTTCTCTCCTTCACTTCCCCCTGTAAAGTCATTCACTGTGTCCTGTGGGTGTTTTCCTCCGTGATACACAGGAAGCTGACCTGTGCCTCTCTAGACCCACTGCTCCGGCCTCCATGTCCCACCTTTGTCTCTCGCCTCAGGTGCTTTTATAACCACCCACATGGTCCTCCTGACCCTTGGACCCCATCTTCCTTGTTTTACATCACATCCAGGCCGAAATTAATTAATTAATTTTTCCTTCCTTCCCCTCTTTCCTTCCTCTTTCCCTCCTTCCCTCCTTCTTTCTTTCTTTCTCCCTCCCTTCCTTCCCCCTTTCTTTCTCCCTCCCTTCCTTCCCCTTCCTTCTTTCCTTCCTTCCTTCCTTTCTCCTTCCCTTCCTTCGCCTTTCTTCCTTCCTTCCTTCCTTTTCCTTCCTTCCTTCCTTCCTTCCTTCCTTCCTTCCTCTTTCTTTTTAGAGAGAGGGAGTGAGAGTGCAAGCAGGGAGGAGAAGGAGAGAAAGAGGATCTTAAACAGGTTCCATTTCCAGCATGGATGGAGCCCAGTGCAGGACCCAGTCTCACGACCCTGAGATCACGACCGGAGCCAAAACTCAAGAGTCTGATGGTTAACCGACTGAGCCACCCAAGCGGATACTGCTCAAGCACCAATCTGATATTTTCAGATTGTTTAACATGATCATTGCTTAAAATAGTTACATTGTTTCCCATTTCCCTTAAAACAAATTCAACCTAATTCCTTACCGTGCATAGTAAATTTGCATTTATGGCCACCTGCTCACCTCTCATCTCATCTTTCCTCACTCCTTGTCCATGTCCTTTAAGCTCCGGTCATAACAAAACTCCTCAGTTCCCCAAAGTCACTCTATTTCACTTTGTGTCTAGGACTTAATGCCTGCTGTTCCCTGGGCTTCAAACAATCTGTCCACCACTGATCTCCCTTTCACTTGACGTGTTCCTCCTCGTCCTGAGGTATTAGGCTAGGTGTTCCTTCGTGTGGGGAATCTTCCCAACTCCTCAGTTTGCATTAAGAGCAGTTGCTAGGTGATGGCCTCCATGTTTACCTTTATCATAAGCCCTTACCTCCTTTTACTGCAATCACCTGTTTCCCTCCATAGCCATCTCTTAAAATTAAGTTTTTTTTTTCCTTTTTTTTTTAAATTAAGTTTCTTGTGGAGCTTAGTTCACCATCATACCCTTAACCCAGCATTAAGCCTCACGTGAAGTAGGTAGTTCAGAAGCATTTTTTGAATGAATGAATGGTGATAATTGTATTGCATTTCAAAATGCAAGATATATAGTCAAAGCTGTACTCAAAAGGAAATTAATAGCTTTAAATGTTTTAATTTTAAAATTATGCTGAGTGAAATAAGTCAAGCAGAGAGAGTCAATTATCATATGGTTTCACTTATTTGTGGAGCATAACACATAGCATGGAGGACATGGGGAGTTAGGAGAAGGGAGTTGGGGGAAATTGGAAGGGGAGGTGAACCATGAGAGACTATGGACTCTGAAAAACAATCTGAAGGGTTTGAAGAGGTGGGGGGGTGGGAGGTTGGGGGAACCAGGTGGTGGGTATTAGAGAGGGCACAGATTGCATGGAGTACTGGGTGTGGTACAAAAACAATGAATACTGTTATGCTGAAAATAAATTAAAAATATGATAAATAATAAAATAAAATAAGAAAATTAAAATTAACTCAGGATCAACTCAGAGACTTAGAAATCTCCATGTAAGCTAGAAATAAAAGGAAATTTCTTTGAGTTGACAACAACTATCAGACACTAAAAGCAAATATCATGCTTCAGGAGGAAGCTTTAGTAATATTCCCTTTAAAGTTAGAAATAAGACAATTATACTTGTTGTAACTGCCCCAATTCTGCATGTTTTAGAGACATTAGTCAATGCAATGCAATAGTTAGAAATAATAGGTACAAACATTGGAAAAGGAGAGATAAGATTATCAGTGTGTAGGTATGATTGCTTTTTATTTAATTTGTATGTGTGTATGTATTTATTTATTATTTTTTTTAGAGAGAGAGAGAGAGAGCATGAGCAGCAGGGGAAGTGCAGAGGGAGAGGGAGGGAGAGAGAATCTTAAGCAGGCTCCGTGCCCAGCACAGAGCCCAATATGGGGCTTGATCTCACAACTCTGAGATCATGACCTGAACCAAAATAGTTAGACATTTGACCAACTGAGCCACCCAGGCGCATCTGGTTGTTTACCTTTAAAAAACACCACACAGATCAACTGAAAACTATTCAAAATGCAGTTGATCCTTGAATGACACAAGTTTGAACTGTGTAGGCCCACCTTTAAGTGGATTTTTAAAAAATAAATGCAATGCAGTCCTGTAAATGCGTTTTCTGTTCCTCATGGTTTTCTTAATAACATTTTTCTCTCGCTGACTGTAGTGTAAGAATACAGGCTTCAATGCATATAACACACAACATATGTGTAGTTGACTGTGTGTGCTATTGGTAAGGCTTCTGTTCAACGGCAGACTGTCAGTAGTTAAGTTTGGGGGAGTCAAACTCACACATGGAATTCTGACTGTGGGGGAGAGGAATCAGCATCCCTAGTCCCCACGTTGTTCAAGCGTCAGCTGAAATGAAGTTCAGGGAGATGATAATACAAGAGAAATGCACAAGTGTTCACAGCTTCCCATAGCTTTATTGTCAGCAACAGACCATCATAAAACATATTTTTTAGAAGTCTGCTTACTTTGGCAATAAACACCCGGTGCCTAGGAATGAGTTCATCAAGAATATGCAAGACCTACCTACGTTATGGGTAAGAGATCCTTTCCGGAATAAACCGTGTGGGTGTGAATCTTGGCTCCAATGTGTTTTAGCTGGCGACCTCAGGAGAGTCCGACATCTCCGTGTGTATGTGTTTGTAGATGTAACTAGGAAGGCAGATGCATGTGTGATAGCACTTCTCTGAGTGTTCAGGCTCCAGCCCACTGTTGACTTGCCCAGCTTCCTCAGCTGTAACCTGGAGCCCACCAGACCTGCTTCCCAGGGCAGGGAACAGCTGTGGCACTCAGTGTCACAGCCTTCACAGGGCATGCATTTTGCCTACGATCAGGAACATTGCAAATGTCTCGATGAGAGCTGTGACACCTGCTTCTTGGCATAAAACCTCACCAGGCCTGCACAGTCCCTCTAAGCAGAGCCCCGAGGAGGAGGGCATGTTGCCAAAAGCACTTACCTATGGCTGGATCTCGGGTCTTCTGAGGCTGCCCCAGCTCTTCAGAACCAAGAGAGGTTCTTCTGAGTTTTGCATTTCATACCCCATCAAAATGCTAAGACTTCTCAAGATGGCAGGGGACGAAATTCTATTTCTCATGCTTCTCTCTCTGTCCAGAGGTGTTGCTTACAATCTCCGTGCCTCACTATGTCAACCCAGACTCAAAACTCAACACTTTGTGTTCCCTGAAATTATCCTCCTACCAAAGGATCGATAACCAAGTTTTTTTTTCCCCTAAGGATTTTATATTTTTTTCTGAAGGAGGGATATTTTGTGGTCGATGTACAAGCGTTAAAGATTCGTGTTAGATATTTTTGCTTTCCGGAGACTTCTTTGTGATAACTCAGCCCTGGGCGTTTCTCTCTGTCTCTGCCTCCAACTCCACCAACTCCTCTTTTCAACTGCCCTCCTGCTACCCCCACTCAGCTTTGTATTTCTTCCTTTTTCCAATATGGAGCCATCCCACCCTCTTTGGCTCCTGTTGACTTACAGACATACCCCAGCCAGGTGCATCATAGACCAAAACCTGTTGCATTAATGGAACTCCCTACCTGCCCTGGACGATCTGTAGAACTAGAAATAGCCATCTGTCCTGTTATATGTAGTTAAGCCCATTCGCTAACTTGTGGTTAAAATGCTAAATGGTATTTGTCCTGTGGTTCTGTGGCCCTATTCTTAAAGGAATTTGCCTTTGTCATATTTGTTTTTATTCCAAAGGTGTCCCTCAGCCTAATATAACTTGGTTGAAGAGAGGAGGATCTCTGAGTGACAATGTTTCCTTGCTTTTCAATGGATCCCTGTTGTTGCAGAATGTTTCCCTTGAACATGAAGGAACCTATGTCTGCACAGCCACCAATGCTCTTGGAAAGGCAGTGGCAACATCTGTGCTCCACCTGCTGGGTAAGTTCAAATGCTTTGGGTTTAAGGGCTTCCTGTAACATGTACAAAGCAGGACCCAGTTTTGTGGATTCTGGAGCTGAGGATGGACATTAGATGGTTTTGACCATGGCTTGCCTCTGCCCACTTACAAACGAGCACTAAATCCAGTATTTTGTCCTACCAGTTCTTCTCTTGGAAAACTGTGACTTTCTTGCTAATATTTCTCTGCCCAAGAACTGGCATATAAGGTTTTCTGCCCAGAATCAAGACCCTTCATGTATTGCCTCTATATTTGCTTATCTGTTGACCCCAACCCCCATTCCAAGCTACCAATGAGCTCTGTCCTAGTCCACATGGTTTCCTGCCCTGTGGTCCAACAGACTCCCTCCTCCCATGCTGTTTCCATAGAAGTATGACCTCTAGGAACACTGCTCTCCAAAGAAGTGTCCTTCACTGCCTTTCTCTTTGGAGAAATGTAGGGCCAACTTCTGTCTCTTACAGAAGAGTTCCTATCTCCTGTGTGAATCCCCTGGATTTTGTTTGACCTCTTTTCTCTGGTCTAACCATTTGGTCTCTGATTAAGTGCCAACACACACTGCTCTCCGATTGTTTTCCCTTTTAACTTATATTTCCTCAGCTAAATTGCAGGTCCTTTAATTATAGAGACCATGTGTGATTTTTTTTTTTGCACTCCTGAGTATATAATATAGTATAAGGCACACACTAGGTACTTAGTAAATACTAATCAATTGAGTCTTAAGACACCTTACAGTTGGGTCAGTAATGTCATTTGGAGAAGTTCATTACAATGTGCTCTTGGCCCAGGATAATAAGCTGCTTCTGTTTCTGCTCTCTGTAGCGATAATTTCTGGAGTTCAAAAAATTCTGATCACCAAAATGGGCTTTAAATTGTTGAGGTTTTAGGACTCAGTGAATAATACTCCTCTGCCCCATCAGAGTTTGGAACCAATTGAGAGTTGATGACAGGAGTCAATCAGATGGACATTAGGAATCATTTGTTATTCCTCTTTGTCTCACCAGCACCTAAGACAGGTGTAGTGAGTGTTAATTAAGTGTTTCACAGATGAATGAAACTGAGTTGTTGGCAGACCTGGTATGATATTATTATAGAATCCACTGTGGAACCAAGAGGATGATGGAAAAGAGCCTTCTCCGTGGCTTTTCTTGTTGGCAGTTAGAGACACCTGGGGACATGCACAGGTGGTAGATGGCAATGTGGGGAGTTAGAACACTTGTCATGCCCAAAACACTTCTGTGTTCATTAACTCTTCTGATATTTGCAAGAGCACAGGGTTATGGTGGTCATTTTTAATCCCACTGCATGAATGAGGAGATCTAAAACTCACAGAAAGTTTCCCTGGAGCCCAAATATATAGCCTTCTCTTTGAGCATTCTTCTTACAACCCCCTGTGGACCATCATCACTGATCAGTAAGGCTCTGGTGTACCTCCATGTGGCCCTTCCCAAAGAGCCCCCATGGTCTTCTGGGATCTTGGAATGAAGATTTTCAACTGATGGGCTTGGCCAAGGCTGTCGGATTCTTGAATGCCTTTCCCGTGCTCTGAGAAGTGCCAGCCTCGTTCCTTGCTTCTGCTCTCCTCTCCACTCATGAAGCTGTGTGGCCGTCTCAGCCACACCCCAAATACCTCTTCTCTCAGGACTCCCTCCCACCAAGCTCATGCCTTTGCTTAACTTGACTGAGGAATTAAGAACGTCTTACACGACACAGTGCATGGCATTCCTCCACCTCCCTGCTCTTAAAGCTTCACGGCCTTCCTGAAAGCCCACACTCCCACCACGTGAGGTCCGCCATGAGACCTCGCTCGTTCTCTTGTTCCTGTTCTCTGTTCCTGTTCCTGTTCTCTTGCTCCTGTTGAGTGGAGGAACTCTGCAAGTCTCAGCTGCCACCTCCAGTCCCTTCTGAAATTTTGGTGAATCCATTTTTTCCTGCCTTATCAGGCTATAAACCCTGAAAACATGCAGAGACATCCTGTGTTAGCAGAGTTACTCTAACTAAACCCCTACAGCACCCCCCCACACCCAAACCCACATGTAACTCCCAGATCTGTGGGAGCCCAAGCCCCCAGGACAGAGCATTTCTTTGGAAAGAGCTGACTTCCCAGTAGTTGTCTTCTTTAAGAACACCCAAGCTGGGACAAGAATGAGATATTGTTTAACTGGAAAACAAGGGCTCCTTTTTACTTTCTTTCTTTTTCTCAGAACAAAGACATTCGGACAGTAAAAGTGTATTTCCCAAGGACCGTAAAAAGCATATGCTCCAGATGTCCAATGCTGGAACTGACAGCAGTGACCCAACAGGAGAACCCCTACCTCCAGGTTAGAGCTTTTGACTTTTTAAGGATTTACCATTTGTGAGGAGTTGCAAAGAAAAGGATTTAGCTACGAGACTCCATGTTTTACACTTCTCAACAAGTAAAATTATTCCTAGGCATTAGGCCAGCTTTCCCCTTGCCCTCAGACTTCTGTGGTTCAACTTGTTCCTTCCATATTGAAACATTTTTTATAAAGAAATCATTCCTGAGGAAGCCTGCAGAGCTCATATCCCAAACACACTTCATTATTTGTGATACAACAGGGATTGGCTTTCCTGTTTTAAAACGATTGCCAACTTGGTAAATATTCACAGAGGGAAGATTTGCTAAGAATTCTGGAACCAATTCTTTCATTTTTCTCTTTTCATAAGTTTTTTCCCTATACTTACTAACTTTGTTATGCATCACTGTTTGGTCAGGAGAACCCAATCTAAGTTTTCAAGCTTGCAAAACTCTTTAGGAGGCCAAGGGAGAGAGGTAGAGTTAAGAGAATCAGAAATGCTGGAATCACAGGAAAAAGGTACTGATGATCTCAGATTCCTATGACTCAGAAGCGAGTAAATCCGGAAGTCACGGAAGGATGTGGAGAAGCTACTATTCTGCTTCTGCTTTATTATACCTCCTACACAGGAATAATACTGGCTACATTGTTTCAGCCTTTTAAATCTTGAGCAAATGCCTCTGGTTTGCAGAACACATCCCAGAGGATAACTCTGTAGGTAGGGATTCTAGAACTGTAGTTCTTAGGCTCCCCCATCTCAGATGTAGAGAGGGCATCGAAGAGGAAAATGGTGTTAGGACACCAATCAAATAACCCAACTCATGATATTTATGACATCATTCTCCAGAACTCTTTATGTATTTCTTCTCCTCTTTCAGACATAATACTCCCATTGTAAAATGCACTATTATCCACTCATTCCGCATTTGTCTTAGTCTGATTGGGCTGCTCTAACAAAAACCATAGACTGGGTGACTTACTGACAATAGACATTTATTGCTCCCAGTTCTGGAGCCTGCAAAGCCCAAGACCGGGTGTCTGGTGAGGGCCCACTTGTGTGTCCTTATGTGGCAGAAGGGGTGAAGAAGATCCCTGCATCCTCTCCTGTAAGGGCACTAATTGCGTTCATGGGGGTCCCACCCTCATGACCTCCTCACTTCCTGAGGGCCCCACCACCTAAGACCATTTCATTGGATGTTAGGATTTGATGTCTGAATACTGGAGAGACGCAAACATTCGGTCTACAGGAACATGCAACAAGTGGTTGCCAGTGCCTACTCTTGCCAGGCTGGGGATACAGAGGTGACTTAGCCCTTGGGAAGCTCATAGTCTATACAGGGAGGCAGTCATGTAAACAGGTATTTGGAAGCAGGGGGACAAGTGCTGGAAGAGAAGGATGACCAAGTACACTGTCAGCACTAAGGACGGGGCTCTAACTCTCTGTGGGGAAGGCAACCACATTTTCATGTAGGCCGTGATGTTTGTTCTGGGAAGAGGAAGAAGAACATTCCAGGCAGAGAAACAGATGGACAAAGGCAGATAGGAATTCCACGTGGAAGGGAACATGAACTCAAGGAACTCCCTCAAATCAACTAATTTAAAGATTGAGTATTCATGAGGCCAAAACTGCTGGGAAAATTAGTCTTTGGAATATTTAAACATTTTGTTTATCAAAACTGCCTTCCTTGTTTGACCACCACACACACACACACACACACACACACACTCACACACACACACACACACAAACACACGTGCACATACATGTGCACACATTCTGGAATATGCCAGTTCTTCAATGGATCCTCACCTTAGCATTTCGAAGAGACTCACTTATTAATTGAACAAATACTGCTTGAGTATCCAGTATATAACATTCCCTGTCCTGGCGGTGGACAGGACGGAAGAGCTCCCCACCCTCATGGGCTTGGCTTTCCAGTAGGAGAGATGGACAACAAACAAGGAAACAAACACATATTTTCCTGTGGTAAGTGCTACGAAGGAAATAAAATAGGGTGATAGATAGCACAGTGATTCACAGAGCCACTTTGGAGGAGAAAGTCAGGACCAGCCCTCTAAGGAGGTGGTAGTTGAGCCCAGGCCTAAACAATGAGATAGAGTCATCCATGCACAAAGATAAGGAAGGAGCATTTCTGGCAGTGGAAATAGTGAGTTCAAGGACCATAAACTGGGAACAAGCTTTCCAGTGTTTCAAGAAACACAAAAAAAGTTCATGTGATCGGGGAAAATTGGGGGTAGAGGAAGGGGAAAGGAAATGAAGTTGGAAGATGGCTGAGAACCAAATCATTCAGGGCTTGAAGGTCAAGGTAAAGACTAGAGTTTATTCCTGTTTTCCCAGCACCATTGGTTGAAGAGACTGTCTTTTCCCCATTGTATATTCTGGCCTCCTTTGTCATAGGATAATGGACCATATAAGCATGGGTTTATTTCTGGGCTTTCTATTCTGGTCTATTGATCCAGCTGTCTATTTTTGTGCCAGTATCGTACAATGAATGCAAAGAATGAAACGGGACCATGCACTTACACCATACATAAAATAAACTCAAAATGGATTAAAGACCTAATTGTAAAACCTGAAACCATAAAAATTCTAGAAGAGAGCACAAGCAGTCGTCTCTATGACATTGTCTGTAGAAATATTTTTCTAGATATGTATCCTTAGGCAAAGGAAACAAAAGCAAAAATAAACTATTAGGACTACATCAAAATAAAAAACTTTTGCACAGTGAAGGAGATAATCAACAAAACAAAAAGATAATCTAGAATAGGAGAAGGTATTTGCAGATGAAATATCTGATAAGGGGTTAGTATGCAAAATATATAAAGAACTTACACAGCTCAACACCAAAATAACAGTCTAATTAAAAATGGGCCAAGGACCTGAGCAGACATTTGTCCAAGGAAGACATCCACATGGCCAACAGACACGTGAAAAGATGCTCAACCTCACTCATCATCAGGGAAATGGAAATCAAAACCACAATAAGGTATCACTGCACACTTGTCAGAATGGCTAGAATCAGAAAGACAAGAAATAGCAAGTATTGGCAAGAATGTGGAGAAAAAGGAACTTCAGTGTACCGTGGGTGGGGATATTGGTAAATTGATAGAGCCACTACGGAAAACACTATGGAATTTCCTCAAAACCCTACAAACAGAACTACCATATGGTCTGGTAATTCCTCTATTGGGTAATTCCTCTATTGGGTATATTTATGAAAATACTCATTTGAAAATGTATATGCACCTGTGTGTTTATAGCAGCATTATTTACAATAGGCCAGATGTGGAAGCAGCCCAGGTATCCATCAATAGATGACTGGATAAAGAAGATGTGGCATATATATATAATGGAGTGTTACTCAGCCATAAAAAGAATGAAACTTCGCCATTTGCAGCAACATGGATGGACCTAGAGGGCATAATGCTAAGTGAAATAGACAGAAAGACAAATACCATATGATCTCACTCGCACATCTAATTTAAGAAACACATGAACAAAGAAATAACAAAAGTGGTTTAAAAAACCACTCTTCAATACAGAGAGCAAATGGAGGGTTGCCAGAGGGGAGGTGGGTGGAGGATGGGTGAGATAGAGGAAGGGGATCAAGAGTGAACATATCACGATGAGCACTGAGTAATGTATAGAATTATTGGATCACTGAAACGAATGCAACACTCTATGTTCATTATACTTTAAAAGAAAAAAAGACTATAGAGTTTATTTCTAACATATGTGAAGCATTGAGAAGTCTTTTATGGAAATGAATATGATCTCCTTTTCAAATGCTCTTGTTTCCAAAATCATTAACCATTAGACAAAAAATTATCAAATTAAACCTCATCGTAATTATTAAAATCTTCTCATCGAGGACACCATTAAGAATACGAACAGATAAACCATAGGCTGGGAGAGAGATAGGCCAAACATATGTCTGTTGAGAAAGTTACATCTAGAGTATATAAAGAACTCCTACAAATTAACAATGAACTCTCCCCTCTCCCCCCAAAACAACGGGCAAAACACTTGCACAGACAGCTCACAAAAGAAGATACACGATGGCATCAGGGAAATGACAGTTAAACCCACAAAGACATAATGATTCTACACTTTATGGAATGGTGAAAACAAAAAGACTGACCATGCCAGATTTGGGTAAGGATGTGAAGCTACTGGAACTCGTAGGCATTGGTGGTGAAGTGCGCAATCTGGTACAACCACTCTGGAAAACTGCATGGTCGTTTCTTTTTTATTTTTTTTTTTTTAAGATTTTATTTATTTATTTGATAGAGATTACAAGTAGAGAGGCAGGCAGGGAGAGAGGAGGAAGCAGGCTCCCCACTGAGCAGAGAGTGTGATGCAGGGCTCGATCCCAGGACCCTGAGACCATGACCTGAGCCAAAGGTAGAGGCTTTAGCCCACTGAGCCACCCAGGTGCCCCTGAGTGGTAGTTTCTAAGAGAGCTAAGCCTACATCAACATTTGACCCAGCAATTCTGCTCACAGGCAGTTATCCAAGAAAAGTGAAAACATGTTCACAAACAAATTTGTGCAGGAATGTTCACAGCAGCCCTCACTTCCTCATGGCCCCCAGAAGGAGACAAGATAAACTGTGGTATATTCATATGATAGAATATTATTCAACAGTAAACTATGCGCAGCAATACAGATGAATCTCAGAAATGGTATGGAAAGCCAGTGCCAAAGAGCACATGAATGAAAGCCCAGGGCAGGTGACACTCACAGTGAATCTGATGGAAATGAACATGTAATTGTCTGGGTGGGGGAGGAAGATTGACCAAAATAATTCAGATTAAAATAATTGATTGAAATATTTGAAGATTAGGGCACCTGGGTAGCTCAGTGGGTTAAAGCCTCTGCCTTCAGCTCAGGTCATGATCCCAGGGTCCTGGGATCGAACCCCGCATCGGGCTCTCTGCTCAGTGGGGATCCTGCTTCCTCCTCTCTCCCTACCTGCCTCTCTGCCTACTTGTGATCTCTGACAAATAAATAAATAAAATCTTTAAAAAAATAACAATTTGAAGATTAAAGTTAGTTTAAAAATTTAAAGTTAATTTAAAGATCAAATTAGGAGGAAACTCTTTGGGTGATGAATTGTTTGTATCTTATAACTGAATTGTTTTATATCTGGATCATGGTTGCAAAAGTGCATACAGGTGTGAAAACTCACGAAACTGCACACCGGATTTCTGAGCATTTATTGTATGTGAATGACACCTCGATTAAAAAAAAAAAAACCCACCCATGGTTTTAAAGAGGTAGATGTGCTTCCTGCCTTGAAGCATCAAGGTGTCTTCATGAAGTATGGCGTAGGAGAAAGTGTTAGGTGTCGGGTCTGACAGACTTGGGCTCTAGATGAAGGACCTTGAGCAACTCACTTCACTTTTTCCCTCTTTTGCAAATGAAACTGATCTAGTTCACAGGATGGCCGTAAGGATTAAGGGACAAACTGATGGCCAGGTGTCTAATTCAGTACCCTCACCCGGGAGGTTCTCCATAAACCTGGCTATTTTACAAAATTATTTTGAATAAACTGTCATCCTGGGGGCCAACTAAAAATATGTACGATTCTGCTTTGCAGAGGTTGCCATATGCAACTTCAGACAAAAATTCAAAAATCAGAGGGAAAATCTGGAAAACAATAAGTTAAAGAAACCATTCTGCTCTGGGAGGGAGTCTGTGGACACAGCTGGTAGCTATCAATTACTTATGATTGTGACAGGAAAATCTGGCACTTTCCGTGGCCACATACAAATCTGTCATCATCATATTGTACCTCATCTTTTTACCAAGTGTCAGAAAGGAAGGGAAAGGCTGTTTGGAATGAGGCTAAAATTAAAAAGCCATAATTACTGGAGGGAGTCGGCTTCAACTTTGCTAAAGGAAACTCCCATTTTTACCTTTCCAGATGTCTCCCTGACAAATTATTTCTGCAGTTCCAAGAGTAAGCTGAAGTTTAGATAAGAATTAATGGAAAAGTAAGAATGGAATGAAATGCATTTTTAACCTGACTGCTTAATCCCTGGTCCCTGCAAAACGGTCTTTCATTTCTCCGCCTGGCCCACATTTGAGAAATGGAGCCGGTGAGAGTATCCTCCCGAGACGCCCTCCTCTTGGCCAGGCTCGGAGGAAGCCGAGGAGCCAGCCCACTGCACAGAGCACTTTCTCCCTCACTCTGGGACTTTTCTGGCAGGTCTAGCTGGCCTCCAATAGCGCCTCTCCCAGGCTGCAGTCCAGAGGCCCGGTGCTGGCCACCGTTCCCACCAGTGAGTACAGTAAGTCAGCGGAGGAAGCCTGGAATGTGAAGGAGGCCCGCCACCAGGTGACGGCGTACTCTCCGAGTGCTTCTCAAAGCAGCAGTTGGGCAATCTACCAGAAAACAGCTCTTGGTGGTCTGTGGCCGTGTCCTCTCCAGCCCTATCATCATATCTCATTCGAAGCTGTCATGACATTTCACTTCCTTTCCACAGAGCCTTTTTGGGAGCTGGGTAACTGGACGCATTGTTCTGCCACCTGCGGCCACTTGGGAGCCCGAGTCCAGAGACCCCGGTGTGTGCTGGCAGACGGGCAGGAAGTGAGCGAGGCCCTTTGCCAACACCTCCCGAAGCCGCTGGCCGGGTTTCAGCGCTGTAATATCTGGGACTGCCCCTCAAGGTATGTGTTGTCAACTCTTCGTATCAGTACCAGGTTTTGGCTTGGGGTGGAAGGCGTGGTGACTTATATTTCCTAGTGCCTTTACGTCGATGGGCTGAGCCTGTACCCTGCGCCCGGCGTTCCGCTGAGTGCTCGAGTGGACCAGTTCGCCGTCACCTTGGAGGGAGACGTTGTTAGTTTCTCAGATTTCACAGATGGGAAAGCACCCCCGAGGCCCTCCAGGTACAAGGGCCAGAATTCAAATCGAGAGGATCCGTGTTCAGAGCCTCTACTCTTGACCCCTACCCAAATCTGCCTCCTGCGCTCATGGGGCTATGTGGTCCTTAGCAGAGCCAGTCCAGTGGGTTTGCCTGGAGGGAGCGCCGCGGGCCCGCATCCCTGGAGGTCCTGTTCCAAGTGCCGTTCCCTAGGTTCCACCCTGGGGGTCAAAACCATTCATAACCTTTCTAGGTAATAGCTAGAAATCAGTCCTTTAAAAATGTCCAAAATCAAACTCGTGATCTCTACCAAACCCGGTCCCCTCCAGGCTTCCAGACACAGTGACTGCATCCAGACCCCTGTGTCTGTCACCTCCATCCGTTCTTGTCCAGTTCCCCCACGCCCCCCGGAGCTCACGCCATCAATGTCCCTCACGTGGATGGCCCAGAATCCTCCTGATTCTTGTCTCCCTCCCAGGAGTGCTCTCCCCATGCGTGAGCAGAATCATTTTTAAGACACAATTCATCACGATGCCTCTTTGTTTAAAGCCCTTCAAACACCTCTTGTGGTTCTTAAGACCAAGGCCCAAATCCCTAACTCTGGGAGCGTGTCTGTCTTACTCATTTTGTTCACCCTGATGTCTACACCAGTCACCAGTCACACCAGTGCCCAGTAAGTATTTGCTGCCTGACTGAATACAGGAGTGAGAGAACAAGTCCCTCCATGCTTGTGCCTCGGGCTGCCCCCTCTGTCTGTCACAGCCTGGTTATCTGATCTCCACTCCACACTCTTTTTGTCTCTGAGACGTGCCTTTCTTCTGACTCAGAGGCTCCACACATGCTGTTCCCTTTGCCTGGAACACCGTTCCCTCTCTTTGAGTTTAGTTATTTCTGTTCATTTCTTTTTAGGGAAACTCTCCCTTACCTTCCCCCCCAAGCTCAGCCAGGCCCCTGCGCTGTATATGTTTCCTATTTTGTTATCACTCATGTCCATGGTTCTTATTATGGTCTGTCTCCTGCAAGAGTGTCCACCCCAGGAGGGTAAACACACAGCTGTTTGCAGAACACTTTGTTCCCGGCACTTAGCACAATGTCTGCCCCCATTATGAGCCCTCCACGGATATGTGTGGAGTGAATGAATGAATGATTGAATCACAGAGTCCCTAGAAGTAACTGACCAACTGGCACCAGAATCCCCAGTAAAACAAAATAAATAAGTAAGATAAAATAAAATAAAATAAAATAAAATAAAATAAAATAAAATAAAATAGCAATAGCACTTACGGAGCACGACTGGAGATGGACACTTTGTTAGAGTTCACCACCCTCGCACAAGTGCCTACCCGGATCCTCTGAGCTGGGCCTGGAAAGGGAGCGGGAGGCAGGGTCCACTGGCAAACAAAGCAGATGCCTGGGAACGTGTTCTTGCAGGGCTGTGGCTGTCAGTGGCCGACGTGGCTCTCGGCACCCACCGTGTTCTTGGGAGGAGGGTCTTGTGCTGAGTCATCTGTCCCTCAGGAAGTATCAAACTGATGCTCCAGGAACTTGGGGGCAGCTGGTTGGGCCAAATCTTGATTCTTATAAAGTGGAAAGAAATGTATCAGCCACGGTGCTTGTTACATGTTCTCTAGCCTGTGCAAGTTCCTAGGATAAGCGGCCGTCCTCTTTCACACTTACGAGAGACGCCTCAAGGTCTCGTAACCCAAGGGCTCTCACACGGAGGGCCTTTCCTCACTCTGTGCCGTGGATGCCTCTGGTCGTCTGGAGAAGCCTGGGGATCCCTTCTCAGGACGAGGGTTTTAAATCTATAAAATAGAATACACTCGATCACAAAGGAAACCACTAACATTGATATAGAGTATTAACATGTTAAAAATGGTGATACAGTAGTAGACTTGCTTCTCTGTTAAGACACTAACACTAGCAGTGCCTTAATCGTGAAGTGGTGGGTGGTGAGTGTAAAGGATATTTTGAGATACCTGCCGCAGTCGTAATGCCTTGTGAAAATATCTGTGGTTTCCCTTGGTAATGAAATCACCGGCAGTTCTAATACTGCTATACTTTGCAGCTGGCATCTTTATAACTAAAGGGGCACTAATTCCAGTTGTAGCTCAGTGACCACGATGAGGTTTTGCCCGGCCAGGTCCGTGGTCTCTTGGAGCCTCCTAGAGCCCAGCTTAGGTGGGACTCCCCGGAGCCTGAGCATCCGCAGTGACCCAGCACTCAGTCTCCCAATGGTGTCCGGCTCCGAGTGTCCTATGAAAGTGTGAACTTAGGGTCAGATGAACCTAGAATCCAACCCCAGCTCTGCTGGTTTATGGTTATGTGGCCGTAACTGAGACACTTACCCCTTTGGACGTTGGTGTCTTCCCCACAAAGAATGGGAGATGTGAATATCTCCCAAAGCAAATAGCACATATGTGCTTTAAAACTATTTTCTCCCCTTTGGTTTCAGTGAGTTGAAATCCACCTTTTTGAAATTTCCACCTCAATTTTCCCTAGCTGTGCTGTCTGGGGCCAGGCGAGTTCCAGCTCTCGTACCCTTGCAGACCCCCGTGTTCCTTGTCTCTCCTTATCTCTCCTGGTCCCTCTGTCACTCCCCTGAACAAAAGGGAAGTCTGAGCGGAGAGCCAGGAGTCATCTGAGCAGAGACTCATTCCCCTAGAGAGACGCGACGGCCCCCAGACGGTCAGTGTTAGGGTCGATGTTCAAGGCTCTCGCGGCAGGGGCTGACCTTCCAGTCCTCACTAAGCTGCTGTAGTTTTTACTTCCAGGTGGTTCACGAGCCCATGGTCAGAGTGCTCTGTGTCCTGCGGAGAAGGATTCCACAGTCGCCAGGTGACCTGCAAACGCACCAAAGCCAACGGGACCACGCAGCTGATGTCCCCGGGAGCGTGTGTTCCCAAAGAGAGGCCTCTGGGTAGAAGGCCGTGTTCCGGTCATCCTTGCGGCCAGTGGGTCGTTGAACCAGGGGGCCAGGTACAGCTGACAGATCTAGTGCTGTGACAATAATGTAATCATTGCTTTGCTTCTCATACATTTTTTTTTTTAATTTGGGGGAAAACATCTGATTGCTCTCTAAGGCTAGTGTATGTGTCCGTGTCAGGGATTAGATTTGGAAATCAGGGAGTCACTGTCTTCCAGTATAAAGGAGAATCAGAGTTGGATTCTTTGAATAGAGTAGGTCAGGGACAGAAGTTCTAAGACTGGCTGGTCCGGGGCAGCCGGGGTGCGAGCAGGCTTCGAGAAAGGGAGCCGAGGAGCAGTGCGTGAAAGTCTCATGGCCCGGATCCCAAACAGCACCTTGAACAATGTTTTAAATTAAAAATACTTGGGGCAAAAAAAAGTTTAAAGAAATGTCGAGGAACCTAATTCGTCTGCGAGGGCTGCTTTAACAAAATACTGCAGACCAGGTGCCGGAGAGAGCAGAAGCTTATTTTCCCAAAGTTCTGGAGGCTGGAAGTCCACAGTCAAGGTTCTGTCAGGGTTGGTTTTGTGGGACCTCACTCTCCTGCTTCAAGACAGTGTCTTTTCGGTGGGTCCTCATGTAGCCCCTTCTCTGTGCAGAGAGAGAGGGAGAGAGAGACACATTTCTTGTGCCTCTTCCTCTTTTTCTAAGGGCACAGTCCTAGCAGATAAAGGCCCGACCCTATGGCTTCATTTCACCTTTAATACCACCTTGTAGACCCGTCTCCAAATACAGTTACACTGGGGGCTTAGGGCTACCACATACAGATGTTGAGGGGACACAGTTTGGTCCATAACATTCTACCCTCTGCCCCCATCCCCAAATTCATGTCCTTCTTGTGCACAAAGTACATTCATCCCATCCCAATATCCTTAGAAGTCTTGGCCCATTCTGTCCTCGATTCAAACCCAAAGTCTCACCAAACATCACCTAAAGTAGGAATGGGTAAGAAGTGAGCCATCCTGGCGCAGAATTCCTCTCCCCGGTGAAGCCGGGAAGGCAGACAAGTTACGTACTTCCAAACTACAGTGATGTGACAGGCATAGGATAGATGTTCCCTTTCCAAATGAGAGAAATCAGAAAAGGAAACAGGCCACGGGTCCCCGTCAAGTCCCAAATCTAGCAGGGCTAATTCCATTAGATCCTGGCACTCGAGAATAATCTTTGGCTTGGTGCTCTGCTCTCCAGACCCCCCAGGGCCCTAGACTGCAGCCTCCCACATGGCTCTTTGGAAGCACTAGGTAGGGTCAGTGGGGGGCCCCAGAAATCGAGGAAACAGCCTCCCCGCACTGCTCCCCCCCCCCCCCCCCCCCGCCAGGCCTGTCATGGGAGCGGGAGCCCTGGTGAGCTCGTTCTTTCCTCTTCTTGAAGGATAAAGCACGTTTGCCGCTGCGCGGTTTTATCCCATCCTGTAGAATCCACAGCTTCTAAAGCCTTCCTTAACTGTCCCTTCATGGTCTCACCTTGCACCATCCCGTCTCTGTTCCTGGCTTCTGCGGGGTTGGCTCACGAACTCCTGGGGGAGTCTCCTTAAGGAGGGATTGTCCAGCTGCACCTTTATTGTTCCTTCTAGAATGTACTTCCTCATTCTTCAAAATACAGATGGACTGAGAATTTTCTGGCTCCTTCAGTTATGATTCCTTTTTCGCTTAATGATTCCTTCAGTTTATCTGTCCACTCACATTCTGCTCCAAGCACTAAGGGGAAGCCAGGTGCCACCCTGAGCTCTTGGCTTAGAAGTCTCCTAGCGGAATATCTGATTTCATTACTTGAAAGTTCTATCATCCACAAAACACTAGAACTCAAATCAGCCATTTTATTTTTTTAAGCTTTATTTATTTATTAGAGAGAGAGAGTGTGTGTGTGTGAATGAGGGGCGGGGGGCAGAGGGAGAAAGAGAATCTCAGGCAGACTCCCCAGTGAGCACGAAGCCCAACCCTGAGATCCGATCTGAGCCGAAACCGAAAGTCAGACGCTTATCCGGCTGAGCCACCCACGTGCCCCAAGTGCCCCATTTGAGAATGACGATTGCCTTTCCTCTAGTTTCCAGAAGCGTGTTCCTGACTTCCACCTGAATCCTCATCAGAGTCCTCTTAAATGTCCCTGTGTCTAACAACGTGCCCTTCAAGGCAGTCTAGCTTCTTTCTTCTGGCATGTACCTCAGAACTTTCCCAGCCTCTACCCATCACCCGGTTCCAGAACCACTCCCACAGGTGTAGACACTTGTTATAGCAGCACCCCACCTCTCGGGACCCAAATCTATATGTCCACGTTAACCAGGGTCCTCCAGGGAAACAGAACCAAAAGGGTGTGTGTGTGCATGTGTGTGTGCATGTGTGTGCGCATGTGTGCGCATGCATGAATTGAGTTAATGCAGTTCTGGAGGTTGACAAGTCCCGAGAGCTGCAGGGTGAGTCGGGAAGCTGGAAGACCCAGGACCACCGATAGTGTCATTCTAGCCCAGAAGCCAGTGAAATACAGACCCCGGAAGAGCCAGCATTTGAGTTCGAGTCCAAAAGCAGGAAAAAGCCAACAGCCCAGTTCAAAGACAGTCAGGAGGAATTCCCTCTTACCTGGAGGAGGGTCAGGGGTTTTGTTGTCCTGGCCGTCCATCAACTGATTGGGTGAGGCCCACCCACACTGGAGAAAACCATCCGCTTTCCTTTGAGTACTGATTTAGAGGTTAATCTCCTCCAGAAACATCCTCCCAGAAGCACTTGGAATACCACTTGGCCAAAGACCTGGGAACACCATGGCCCAGCCAAGCTGACACATACAATTAACCAAAACAAAACCCCGTAAAGAAAAGTAGAACACGCTGTTGAAACACATAAAGGAGAAGTAGGACAAACAGCAGTATTCTCCATACTGTAAAGACGTCTACGTCTGCTCCCTTAAATGAACTGAAACACATAATATAATTCCAACAAAGACTACAATAGAATTCTTTTTTGGAACTTAAGGGAATTCTGACATTCATATGGGAGAACAAATGAGCACAGGAAATTTTTAGGAAAAACAACTTATTGGACGGGTGGACAGACCTTCTTTAGCTGGTGTTATCTGATGTAAGTAAAATAATGCAGCATTCATGTAGGAGTGAGCCCGAGTCATGCAGTGGAATGAGAGGACAGACCCATGTTAAGTGGCTTTAAAGTTCCAAGGTAATTAACCATAGCAGAAGAATGGTTTAAAAAAAAAAAAACTTAAACTACAAGAGGTTCTTTTAGGAGATGAGAGAAGATCTAAATGAACAGAAAGTCATCCCATATTTATGGATCAGAACACTTAATGTTAAGCTGACCATGCTTTACAAATTTATCTGCATATTCAGGACAACCCCCATAAAAATCCCAGCTGGCGTCTCTGTAGAAATTGACAAGCTGATCCTAAAATTCATATGGAGAGGGTGCCTGGGTGGCTCAGTGGGTTAAGCCTCTGCCTTCAGCTCACGTCATGATCCCAGGGTCCTGGGATTGAGCCCCGCATTGGGCTCTGTGCTCAGCAGGGAGCCTGCTTCCTCCTCTCTCTCTGCCTGCCCCTCTGCCTACTTGTGATCTCTCCCCATCTGTTGAATGAATAAATAAATTCCTAAAATTCACATGGAAATATAAAGGACCCAGAATAACCAAATCAATCTGGAAACAAGAACAAGGTTGGAGGGCTCAAACTTGTTGGTTTCAAAACTTACTACAAACCGTAGCAATCAAAACAGCATGTTACTGACAGAGGATAAACATACAGATTGCCAGAATAGAATTCACGATCCAGAGAGAAATTTCTAGACCTGTGATAGTTGGATTCCTACAAGGGGAACAAGACCATTCAATGGTCTGTGACAAATAGTGCCGCACACCTGGGTATCCACACACACAGAAAACTGAAGTTGGACCCCTGGCTTCTGCCGTAAGCAAAAAAGTTAACTCAAAGTGGATCAAAGACCTAAATTTAAGAGCTAACCCTATAAAGCTCTTGGAAGAAATGTAGACATAAATCAGCATGCCTTGGGTTAGGAAATTTCTTTTTAGAGATGACACCAAAAACACAAGCTACAACAACAAAAACAGATAACATTGGGCAATGTAGAAATCGAAAACTTTTGTGGTATGGAGGACATGACCAGGAAGGTGAAGGGAAATAGAACCAGAGTGATGGAAGGGCCTTTTCAAGCATAAAACAGAGTATAAGGAAAAATTAATATGTATTATGAGTACAGGAAAATTAAGAACCTCATCAGAAAAGAATTTTTTTTCCATAATTGAACTCACCTTCACCCAGAAGCCTCCACTTCTGCTCAGAGCAGGAAAACCCAAATTTGGCAGTTGCTCATGGTTTTAAGCAATGTCATTATTGGGCCTGAGCCCTGTCAGTTACAGACTGGCCCCCTCCTTCTTCCTTCTCCCCAGAGGTGGTCTACGTTTCTGGGGCGGGTTGGGGGTGTATAGAGGAGGAGGAAGATGCTGAGGGAAGGCTGTCTGGCCCCAGAGCCGAGCTCCCATCCTCCCTGACTTCCCCTGGGGACCCGCAGCCCCGTCTCAATGCATGGTCTTGGCACCACGGCACGCATAGGCTCACAGTGGTGTCTTCTGCTTTGTGCTTCTGTTCCAGTGTCCTGCACGTTGCCTGGGTCGCATGGGGAGGCTGCAGCAGCAACACGAAGTCTGTCAACAGCACAACAGCTCTGACCCCCTCTGTGATGACAGAAGGAGGTACTGACCTGCCCCGGGGCCACACGAACCCTCTCCTGCCCCAGTCCGTGGCTGTGATTTCCTGGCAGTGGAATGACCCTCCCGTCCACTACCTCTTATAACCGACTAGCAGTGAAGCTCTCTTACAGTGCCGTCCCCGACAGCGTGTGTGAGGCTGGAAGAGTCTCTAGTATCTGCTCTTCTAATTACACGTGATGTCGACATGAAACATATTTGGAGAGGGACACCCCAAAGAGAAAAAAAAAAAAAAAGAGTAGCATTGAGGACAGGCATTTTTCCCTCCATCGCCAAAGTTGGTCAAGCCCAATGATATTTCATTGAAGTTTACAGCTTAAATCTTGCAGTGTTTGCCGCGGACTGTGTATTCCTCTGCTGGGAAACTTCAGGCGAGGAGGCTAGCACAGTGGTGCCCCAGAAGGAAACAAGTTTTTACCTTGCGAAGGGGCTTAAACACGAAACGAGTTTGCTTTTGTCTTGTGTAGGAGTCAAAGCTGGTGCTCAGTTTGGGGTAGAGGGGCGCTGTTCCATGAGGTCACCCCGAGACCTGGGCTCCTTCTGCCTGGTGACTCCATCGTCCCGGAGGAGCGCGCCCCAGCCAGTGCGAAATGGAGGGAGAGCCAGAAAGCGCGCTAAGGAGGGAATGTGGGATTCTCCCGCTCTCTTCCTGGATGACCCAGGTCACCCAGGGTCCTGATCTACACACTGGGGTATTACCGTCCATGCAAAACTATGGTTGCGAGGTTTCGAGTAATTGGCTTAGTCTGAAACATCTATGCACCCTGGGTCATAGAGGATGCTCAGAATATGACTCCCTCTCTCTCCTCCCCACCCTGAGTGTTGCCGGAGAAAATGAGATGACCTTGACAGTTGGCTCAGTGTCCATTCTGAGCCTTCAGTAAGGTTTGGCAATGTAGAATCCGCTGTGTTTCCTGTTCCCCACAGCACAACCCCAGCCAGACCTGCATTCCTCAAGTGGAAAATGTTCAGAACAGCTGCCCTCCCTCTCAACACACAACCTAGCTTTGTCTTTTGCTGGGCAGTTGGAGACCACACACAGACCCACACAGATCACCCCAGATGTCTCATTTGGCATTCTCAAGGACAGACGGATGACACAAACGTGTACACGCGTTGAGCTTTCTTTTTTAACGCACCTGATGTACTTTACTGAAACTTGCTTTTTCTTCTTATCCGTACATTATAGACTTTCCCTGATCTTAGTACGTAAGATTCCCTTTGCTCTTTTCCATTGCTGTATTTAACATTTTTATCTCATTCCATTGCTGATGGACATTTGTGTGTTTCAGATTTTGGGTTTTTATTTTGTTTTGCTTTTGTTTTTTGGTTTGTTTTTTGTTTTTTGTTTTTTGTTTTTTTTTTTTTTTATTCCAAACAAATGCTGTAGTAAACATCCTAGAACATATATCTTTATCCACTAACAGCTATGTTTTGGGTACAGCCTGGGATTGAATTGACAGGCATGTTCATTCTGATACTGCTAAGTTACCATCAGAACGTCTCTACCAAGAGTGCATGAGGGTTCCCCCTTTTCATGAACATTATATGGGTTTTCAGTCTTTAAAAATTTTGCCAATCTGATGGGTGAAAAATCACATCCTGTTGTAATTTGTATTTTTCAGATTACTTTTTTTCTTTTGTAGAGTGAGTGAGAGAGAGAGAGAGAGCACATGTACGTGCCCGCAAGCAGAGGGAAGGGGCAGAGACAGAGGGAGAGAGAGAATATTAAGCAAGCTCCCCACAGGCTCGATCTCACAACCCTGAGATCATGACATGAGCTGAAGGCAGAGGCTTAACCCACTGAGCCACCCAGGCGCCCCTCTAATAAGTTTTTATATACGTTTTTGTTCCTTGTATTATGTTCTCGAACCCATCTCTGCCATGATGGCCCATAGCCGAGCCATCCCACGAGTCCCCCTCCGCCTGTTGGTCCTTCCCTGCCCAGTCCCCACCCTGCAGCCTGAGCGGTCCTTTCCAAAGTCAAATCTGATCGCACCACCTCGGCACCCCACCTCCCGGACAGATTAAAGCCACTCTAGAGACCTCACTCGCTCTTAGCAAGAAGGGTGACCAAAGTCTGCAGTGTGGCCTAGAAAACGCCACACGGTCAACTCCTCCCTCCCTTTATTTATTTATTATTTTTTTGAAGACTGATTTATTTTTGGAGAGCGAGATACGGGGTAGCGGGGACAAGGGGGGGGGGCAGAGGGAGAGAGAAAGAATCTCAGGCAGATTCCCTGTTGAGCAGGGGGCCGGATGTAGGGCTCGATCCCATGACCCCAAGATCACCACCTGAGCTGAAATCAAGAACCCAGGTGCCCCTTTCCCTCCCTTTACAGCCTCACCCCAAACCTCACACCCGCCTCTCTTGGCGCTCCAGCCACGGCCTCCTTCCTTCAGGACACACTGTGGATGTGCCAGAGCTTTCCAACCAAGGGCAGCAAAAACAGGAGGTAGAAACATAGCAGAAGGCATGGGAGGATCTCTCAGGGGCTCAATATACGGTCAAATGGGGCTTTAGAGGAAAAGGTGTGGGGGCGTCTGTCTGTCTCAGTTGGTTGAGCATCTGCCTTCGGCCCAGGTGGTGATCCTGGGGTCCTGGGACCGAGTCCCGCATCTGGCTTCCTGCTCAGCGGGGGTCCTGCTTCTCCCTCTGCCCTTCCCCCCTGCTCTTGTGCTCTCTCTCTCTCTCTCTCTCTCTCTCAAATAATAAAAATCTTTTTTAAAAAAGAAAAAGAGATGCGGAGCTGAACAGGAAACGTGGAAGTGTGCGAAAGAGCGAGCCCGTGGTTGCATGTGGCTGATGGTGAAGGGTTGTGTGAGGTAGGGGAGGAGCTCGACTGAACAGGGTCGAGACATTGGGGAACTCTAGTGGCAACAGGGTGACTTTGTGATTTCCTGCCACACAGGAGAGCACTGAGCTGCCCGTGCACACGTGTGTGTCGCGCCAGTGCCCAGACTGCATCCCTCTAGCTGGGGCAGCCCCGTCCCCTGTCCTGTCCCTGGCCCCAAGGATGTGGGCTGAGCCGTGCTGGGCCCACCTTTCCTTCACATGACCTCAGGGACCAGCCCCTGGACCTACGGCTGCCGCGTGGCTCTCTGGCTCCCTGCGTCCTCTCACGTTGTAAGCCCTGGGGCTCCTTCTGCCTTCCCGCCGGCCCTGCCTTCCGTCAGAGCAGAGGTGGCTGTGTGGTAGGGTTCTTGGGGCTGGAAACAGCAAAAGTCAACTCGGAATGACTTATGCGAGAAAAGTGGGCGATTTCTTATTAAGACGGGACCACCCAACATTCGTGCACAATTTGGCGTCCTTTTAAAATACGTTTTTGGTGTTTTCTGTGAATATTTACCTTTTTTCGGTAGAAAGAGCTCATCTCTGCATGGGGGGTACGGCCAGGAGTACTGGGTCTATGCCCGGTTGTCCGAAGCAACTACCCTTTTGCCCCCTAGGATTCACACCCACTGGGGGGAAATAAGCCCTGTAATAAACGGGATACCCTCCTCTCTTCCCTGTAAAACCTTAGTGTGGTGTGACCCTGTTGTTCCAACAAACCTTTTGATGGAGTCTCCCCCTACGGGCCACTCGGAGTACTGCTTCCAGCTCTGTAACACTCGGGCCGGGAGCCAGTCAGGTCATCCCAATTTCTCCATCTTCCTCCATTTCCAGCGGCGATCCTGCACTCCTTTTAGATCCCTTGTGCTGGTAAGGAGCCTCTTACAGGAATACGAAAATGCCTCAGGAATTCAAAGGGCGGATGCCGTCAGACCCCAGGAAGCACTGAGACCACGAAATGAGAAGTCATTGGGGTTTCTTCTCTTCTAGCCTCTACAGCTCTTGGTGTTTCGCGTCCTTCTTTGTTATTTTCCTGAATTTTCTTTTTCTGGTTCTCTGGCCCATGCGGCAGAATATGGCTTTCGTGATCTCTGGACGTCGTGATTACAGGTCTTATTCCAGCACCTTCCACATTCCTGGAACAAGGACTGTCATTGAGGCAGCTCGGTGAAGCTGAGGTTCTCTCCTGGTCGCCTGTGGGGTGGGAGAGAGTTCCGTGTAGGGGCGCGCTATCACCCAGGACCCCTGCTACGGGGAACAAGGTCACGTACCCCAAAGTGTGTCCACCAAGCTGGCTGTCTCTTCTAGGCTAGATAACTTCCAGAGTCGAGGGCGCCAGCTCTCTGTCCTGTTTGCCAGTGTAAGGAACCAGAGACAGATCCTTGTCCCCAGACGGTCCGTGTTAAATCTGACTACAAGTCACCGTGTGGCCAACTCTGAGTGCCGTCCCTTAGCAGACCAGCTCGCTCCCACACTCGGGACACTCATACCCGAACCTCCCCGACGTCTTTTGATAAGCACAACCGTCTGTGTGTCGTTTGCACATCCAAAGTGGCTGATTGTGAGTCATTCCTCCCTTCCTTGCCGGAACTGACCTGCCCCAGCTTCTCGAGACAGCCCGTCCTTTGAGACGCGTGTCCTGACTCGGTGTGGGAAGTGAATGGACACGTGTGCTTGGCTTCCCTGTCCTGGTCACGCGCGCGCCACCCGCCACACACCCTGCAAATCACACACCTGACGAGTACGGTCCTAATCCCGAAACCTTCCTGGATCGGAGATCGAGTACACGGAAAGGCTTGTCCCAGTGGGGAGTGACTCCCCGCCCCTCCCATTTCCACTCTCTGTTTCTTTCCCTTGTCTTTTCCCTTCTTTCTCTTTCAGACCCATGTTGAGGAGGAACTGCTCATTGGGGGCTTGCGACGTGTGCTGGCGCCCGGGCCCCTGGAGGCCCTGCACGGCGGCCTGCGGCCGGGGCTTCCAGTCCCGGAAGGTCGAGTGTGTCCACTCCCGGAGCTGCAGACCCATGGCGGAGAGACACTGTGTGCAGAAGAAGAAACCGGCTTCCTGGCGGCACTGTCTGGGGCCTTCCTGTGAGAGTACGTACCCCTCTCAGGTACCACCGCCGGCCAGCAGCCTAGTCCCAGCCAGACCTGGGCGAGGGGTGGAGGGGGAGGCGGGGGGCAGCCTTGTTGGTGTCCCCGCTGACCGGCCATGCGGGATGCAGGTGGCATCCTGGATGTTAGGAGATGAGCGCCTTTGCTGCAGGTGCGACTCAGCGTTCCTTTGAGAACCGTAGAATCCGTGGGTGTCGGCGGCATTGGCTATGATGGATGTGTCCCCACGTCCGACCGCCTCACCACACTCCCCATCTGCCCGGAGGGAGGTCTCCTCAGCTAGGACGGGGATTCTTGGCATAGATTATCTTGGCTTACATTATTATTATATTATATATACATTATATTGTTTTAATACTATATATGTTCATAGACACACATGTTTTTGTATTATGTATATTATAATTGTTATATCATTTTTATAAAACTTCATCATAAATATATTTTGCTAGGGAGCAGGTCCATCCCATTTATCCATTTTCCAAGAGTCCACACCCCTGCTGTTCTCAGCACTGAGAGGAAGAGCGTGGGCCAGAAGGGCTGGGAGGCCCCAGAGAGCAGGGTGAGGCTACGTGGCCTGGATGAGAAGTGAGCCCCGTGAGTTTCTGGCTCTCGTGTATGGCCATGCCTCTAACCCAAGCTTAGTGGGGTTGCTTTTCAGTTATCTGAGTCCGGCTGATGTACAAGCTTGCACAGTTTCCGATGTAGGATGTAGTGATCGAACAGTTCTATCCGTGCCGCTGGGCTCCCCACAAATGCAGCTGCCACCTGTCCCCACCTGGTGCTGTCACAGTGCCCGTGACTCTCTTCCCCGGGCCGCGAACCCAAGCTCAGTTTTCTCCAGCTCGCTCCATGATCGCAGTATTAGGCTTGTCATAAACTCAAAGGGTTTTATTTTTTCATTTTTTGTAACTCTTCTCTGGTGAGCTGTGTGATCAGTGGGTATCTCTGTTTTCCCTTTTCTGCAGGAGACTGCTCAGACACGACTCACTACTGTGTGTTCGTGAAGCATCTCGGCTTGTGTTCGCTCGATCTCTACAAGCAGAGGTGCTGTCAGTCGTGTCAAGAAGGGTAAACGTGTGGCGGGGTCGGAATGCTGCTGTGAAGACAGAACCCAAACGGAAAAGCTCTTTCCTCTGACGCAGCTGGTTCAGAAGCATGTTATTTCTTTCAAAACTCTAGATTCTGCATTCAGGGGTCGATGCAAACTCACCACTGGTGGGATGTCCTATTGTTTTCCCAGTGGCCGGTTTTTGATCCCAGCTCTTTGATATGATCTGTTCCGGGATGATCAAACACACCGTGGCAGGTGTGCCCTTGCACTTGGGACCCTCCCCATGCCCTCCTAGTAGGGAAATTGCCCAGATCCCCAGTGCGATGTCACAGACTGCTTTTTCCTGTACGTGTAGACTCGTGGAGGGTAGGACGTCCTAGAGACGTGATGGGCACGCGGCAACTGATGACCTCCCCTTCTCTCGAGTTTTAGGGTTTCAGCCTGTTTATAAGGCATCTACACTTTGGAACCCCCGGCCAGTAGTTGTTGAGATGGCATGAGCAGTGCTGGTGGCATTTTGATGGGTCCTTAAGTCTAATCTGTGAAGAAGAGGTGGTTCCTGTGGCCAAGCTCATGGCACCAACTGATCCAAGGACCCTGGGAGTGGGGGGGGGGTGGCATCTTGTCTTTGCTCTTACAGAACCCGGGGACGAAAGCCCAGAGTAGACGTTGCCACCAATTTCACAACTATGGAGATCTGTGACCAGATGAGGCATCTCTGAAATCAAAGGAGAGGGCAAGTTCACCTTTTCTACTGATTTTGAAATGTATTCAAAGCTTTCTTTTAAGAGCTGTGAATGAGACTTTTTCTGAGCGCTCTTCTCTTGCACACAAACAAAAAATCAAAGCCTTATTAGACCTAATTTATGCCTAGAATCGTACTCCTAAGGATTTTCTATTTCAGGGTTTTTATTTCTTATAATCCTGAAGGTTCTAAGAAAGTAATCCAAATAGCAAACATGGTGATTGAAAAGAATTATCGTGAATAAGTGTTTTAATTCAGACCGATCTGTCGGTAAATCCAAAGGGAATTTGGGTTGGGCCAGAAGTTCCAGTAGGGCTAGGGGTCAGAGTTAGGATTTGGTGGGTAAGTGTAGGGTTCATTTTAGTCTTAGGATTGGGTGAGGTGAGAGGGGAAGGTATGTTAGGGTTAAGGCTAGAGTTGGCGTTGGGGGTTAGCGAGAGGCCGAGCTGGGTTGCGTTGGGTTGTGTTCAGACTGGCGCCGGTGCTGGTGTTGGTGATGGTGCCTGGGTGGAGAGTAAATTGGGACTAAATTGTTTCTGTCGAAGGAGTCTGGGGCTTGCGTGAAGTTGTGACGCTCTGACGCTGATTCAGTTCTGGGGTGCTTTCCCCAACATCCCCAGCGGTTCTGGCTTTGGATGACCCACGGCCCCAAGGACGCAGCCATCCTCCCTCGGTCAGGGAGGCCCATTGGCCACGGTGTCACCTAAAGCAGGTCGTGCGGGACCAAGGCCCTGATCACAAAGAAGTGAACAGCGCGTTTGGGCTTTGGATCTGTCCGTGGGCAAGCTTGCTGGTCTTTCTGCCGCATATTCTGAGCACCAGCTGTCGTGTTCTAACTTCAGCCTCGCTGACACTGACAATGAGCACTACTGTATGTGGAGGGTTTGGTGGCCGGGAAGGATGGGGACGTGAAGGGCACACACAGCCCGTGGGGCACTGGTCATCAGTCACACTTGGTTGTCGAAGGTTTTTAAATTAAAAGAAAGATCGTTTGTAAGATACTCTTTGTACATATTTATTATATGACTTAAAGGTGCAATATTTTATTTTGTACAGTATGTAATAAAGAACGTGGGACATATATTTTTTTCTTATCAACAAAATTTCCTATTAAATTGCTTCTCCTTTGTATTTAAAGTCGCTATTTTTTGTTGGCTCTCGTACTGTTGTCTTGGTATCGTTCAAGTGACATTCCTGTGTACTGTATTTTACTACTGTTCCTATAACATAAGAGTTAATGTTTCTTTCATGACTCCCTACGTGATTCAGAAATAAATCTACTTTGATTATGCAGTGGAATCCTTATACATGTGGATGGCTTATTTGTGTTGTTTCTGGAAGCCTTGACCGTTGTCACCTTGGCTGCCTCCTTGGGAGTCCAGGAGCAGACCTGATGGGCTCCCTGCTCTGGGCTGTCCTGTGAAGTGTGGTGACGAAAGATTCAGGACCGATCACACAGGAGTTCCCTCTGAGTCCCTTAACCCAATCACGTACGCCCTATGGACTGTCGTTTATGTCAAGGGCAGAAGGGCCGGAAACAAGCCCTCATGGACAACTGAGACAGTGTAGGAGTGGCTGGTGGTAGGAGAGCAGGAGGCGGCAATACCCTCTTATTTTTGGCCACGATGAGTAGCTGAGGGACTGGCGTGAGATGTTGGTGCCTGAAGACGTTTTGGCAGCACGAGGCGACTTCCTCTGTGTCCCGGCTGTGGGCACAGGGCTTCGGGATCGGCAGGGAGTCTCTACAGGCAGGATTCACATTGTTGAACTTGAGATGCCCTCCATTTGCCTTGGGCCTTGGGGTTTCTGAGGTTATGTGTTGAAGAAAAATCAATCATTGTGCGGTAACTTGTGAGACCCCGTTAACCTCATGAGGCCGAGCTACATGGGAGATAAGCCGTTGGACACCCCTGATGTCTACAAGTGTAGTTTTGTCTTCCCTCCTCTTTCCCTCCCTCCCCTTTCCCCTCCCTCCCTTCCTTCCTCCCTTCCTTTTCTTTTTCTTTCTTTCTTTCTCTCCCCTCCCTCCTTTCTCTTCACTTTTCTCTTCTTTTCTTCCCTTCCCTTTGTTCTCTCTCTCTCAAACTAAGGCCATGTACATGGGTTACAAGGAGTGGAGAGCATTACAAGGAAGGAGAGGAAATGTGGGACGTGTCCTTTCCAACTCAGACAGTGAGGGAACCCTTCACTGTCTTCTTGGCCGTCGGAACTACGTCATGATCCTCAGTAACTGTACAAGAATACGGAGAAATCCAGATTCTGCAGTCTAAGCCCTGCTGGGAGGCTTGGGTCCTCTCACGTACAATGTGATGAAGTCAATACCCCAAAATGTTCTTTCTTACAAATCAACTAGGAAAAGGGTGAAAAAGTCATTCTAGGAAAACATAAGGAGAGATCATTGTTGGACTTTTCTTTGTGATGAGCAAAGGATAGGAGAAGTTTGCAACAAGCCCTAACAAGCCTTCCCAAGTGCAAAGACAGGAAAGGTTTCATCACGCCAGGGATCCCAGCGTGGCTCCTCAATTCAGGATGGTTCCCTCGTCAGGCTTTGGACCCCACGCCACAGCTCTCTGCTGAACCCGGAGCCTTGCCAAGGCAGGGGCGTGAGCAGGTCCCTGGTGTCAAACGTGTTGTCAGGTGCCTAGAATGACCTCAGAAATTATAAGCCAACTTGCTGATAGACTGGTGGGTGGCTGGAGGTGAAAAGACAAAACTAATGAGCCTGGTAGAAGAAACCAAACTATTTTTTTAACTTTTTTATATTAAGGTGACTAAGATGTATGGCGTGGTTACAAAAACACTGCAAGGAATTCTGGTACACCCTTCATCTAACTTCCCTCAATGGCAACGTTGTACATAACCAGATATGCTGATCGAAACTAAGAAATTGCGCCTGGCACAGAAATAGACACACAGATCAATGCAACAGAACAGAACACCCAGAAATGGGCCGACAACTGTACGATCAACTCGCCTTTGACAAAGCAGGAAAGACTCTCCAGTAGGGAAAAAGACCATCTCTTCAACAAACGGGGAACACCGGGAACACTGGACAGCCACGTGCAGAAGAAAGAAACTTTGTTTGCTTTCTTCTGTTTGTATGAAACGTACAAAAACATACAAAACATACAAAACAAATTCAAATGGATAAAAGACCTATATAAGACGCTTGAAACTATTAAAATCCTAGAAGAGAACACAGGCAGTAACTTCTTGGATGTTGGCCACAGCAGAAAACATACATACAAAACAAAATTTTGTACATACATAACAAAAACAAATTCAAATGGATACATACAAAAACAAATTCAAATGGATAAAACAAACAAAAACAAATTCAAATGGATACATACAAAAACAAATTCAAATGGATAAAAGACCTATATAAGACACTTGAAACTATTAAAATCCTAGAAGAGAACACAGGCAGTAACTTCTTGGATGTTGGTCACAGCAGCTTCTTTCTAGATATGTCTCCTGAGGTAAGGAAACAAAAGCAAAATAAATTAATGGGACTTGATCCAAATAAAAAGCTTTTGTACAGTGAAGGAAATAATCAACAAGACTAAAAGGCAACCTGTAGAATAGGAGAAGATATTTGCACATGACGTTATCTGATAAAGGGTTAGTGTATGAAATACGTAAAGAACTTATAAAAACTCAACATCCCGAAAAAGAATAATGTGGTTACAAAATGGTCAGAAGAAATGAACAGACATTTCTCCTAAGAAGACATCCAGATGGCCAACAGACACGTGAAAAGATGCTCAGCATTACTTATCATCGGGAAAACACAAATCAAAACCACAATGAGATATCACCTTGCACCTGTCAAAATGGCTAAAATCAACAACACAAGAAACAGTAAATGTTGGTGAGGATGAGGAGAAAGGGGAATCCTCTGGCACTCTTGGTGGGAATACAACTGGTGCGGCCCCCATGGAAAACAGTACAGAGGTTCCTCAGAAAGTTAAAATTAGAGCTACCCTATGATCCAGCAAATGTACTATTAGGTATTTACCCAAAGAATACAGAAATACTCATTCAAATGGGTCACATGCACCCCAATGATTATAGCATCAGTATCTATAATAGCCGAATTTTGGAAATAGCCCAAGAGTCTGTGGACTGATGAAAAGAAGGTGTGGCTTATATAGACAATGGAATATTACTCAGCCATCAAAAAGAATGACATCCCGCCACTTACAAGAACATGGATGCAGCTAGAGAGTATTACGCGAAGTGAAATGTCAATCAGAGAAAGACAAATCCCATATGATCTCACTCATGTGTGGAACTTAAGTAACCAATGAGCAAAGGACTGAAAAAGAGGGGGAGAGGGAGGCAAGCCCAGAAATAGAAATAGACTCTTCACTAGAGAACACACTGCTGGTGACCATAGAGGAGGGGTGGTTGGGGGAAATGGGCGATGGGGGGCGAAGGAGGGCAGTTGTCATGACGAGAGCTGGGTTATGATGGAAGTGATGAGTCACCACATTGCACACCTGAAACTGATATTATGCTGCATGTGAACTAACTGGAATTTAAATAAAAACTTTAAAAACTGCCCCAAGAAATCGACACTGGTATACACTGGTATACACTATAACACTATTAACTGCAAACTTTAATGGGATTTCACCATTTTCTCACTGTTGTCCTCCCTTCTGCCCTGGGTTCTGATCCACGATCCCGCAATGCCATGCCTCTTTAAGGCTCCAAACCGTGGTGCTTCCGTTTTCTTGTCTCTCATGACCCTGGGAAGTGTGACCGTGACACTGGCCAGGGATTTTGCTGAGTGCCCCTCTGTTGGAGGTGATCTGGTATTTTCTCAGGATTAGAGTCAGCTATGCACGGTTGCCCCTTTCCCGTGCGGCATCAGAAGGACATGCTGTCGACATGTCCTCTTACTGGTCATGTTTACCTTGGTCCTTGGTTAAGGTGGCTCCTGCCGGGTTTCTTCTCTACTAGGTCACTGTTTCCCTCTTTGTAATTAATATATTTGTATTTTGGAGACAATACCTAGAGACTGTGCAAATACTCTGTTTCTCCTTAAAGTTTTGTCCCCTGGTTTTATAGCATCTTATGGGTTGTGCCTATAGTAATGATTGTGATGATGTTCCAGTGGTGAGTTTCTCTTTTCTTCATTCTTTTACTAATTGGAATCCTGTAAGGAAGGGATGTGTCTTCTCTCCCATTTATGTATTTATTTATATCAGTATGGACTCTAGGAGATAGATAGATCTATATGTATCTAAATCAATCTTTCTCTCTCTCTCTCTCTATATATATATAACAACAGTTTGGATTTTAACTCAAAGTAACTTTGAGTAAAAATGCCAACTGTCGTTATTTTGTTGCTCAGATCATTCCAGCTTTGTTCACTGGGAGGTTTCTTAGGTTGACTGCACATCCGTACTAACCCGTGCAAACGCGCATGTGTGTGCGCGCACACACACACACACACACACACCTGTTTATTTCTGCATCTGTGAGTTCATCCTGAGACGTCAGGTCAGGTGTCAGTTCACACCATATGGTCATTACTACAGTCAATGCCTTTTTCTTTCTTTTTTTCCTTTTTTTCCTTTTTTTTTTTTTTTTTTTTAGCTCAAGTCTTTAAAGGTTTTCATGTAAGAACAACTCAAGATGACCATTATCAAGTTAATCAGGAGGTTGAAGATTTCCAGGGAGGATTTTTGAGACGGCTCCATCAAAGGTCAATATTTTACTGAGAAGCGTTTGCTACTCAAATTCTCAGTAAGTGTGGGTAAACAGAGGTGGTATTTGTTTTTAATTAGTATTTTTTATTTTGTTATGTTTGTCACCAAATGCCTTTTTCTTCTTTGTAGTTTCTGTGACCGTGGGAAGCGTGGCTCTCACGATCTGCAGTCTTCTTCTCGGTTTCCCGTAACCCTGGGACAGGAGGACAGTTTAGCAGCCGGACTGCAGTGTTTGTGTGGGAGCCTTTTTATCTATAGCTATAGAGTGTTCAGTAGGAACGCTCTTTCTCGGTATCTCTTAGGTAATCCCCTCTCCTCCTGCCCTCTTCTGTGTGCTCAGGTGATGTGCTTCTAGGACACTTAGACTCACCCGCCACGGTCTGCATTCCTTCCCGGCTTCTCCTCGCATCCTGGGGAGCCGTGTCTGTGATGTTACGGGCAGTAAGACCGACTCTGTGGTTTCCAGTTCTTAGTTTCTACGAATTCAGAGAGTTGTTTACCCACACAGTTTCCTACCAAACACTTCTGTCACCCCCTGAAATTCCGACGTCCTGCTTCTCTGTGACCCTGTGATATGTACGTGTATGTTTACCTTTATAAACTGTCAAAAGATGTTCCAAAATGCCTGGTGTGTGTGTGTGTGTGTGTGTGTGTGTGTGTGTGTGTGTTATCATTTTAGCCCTGGATATGTATGTCATGATATCTCATTGTAGTTTTAAGTTGAATTTCCCTAATGACTAATGATACTACCTTTCACCTGCTTATTTGACATTTCTTGTGGGTTGAATTGTGTTCTCCTCCTCAAAAAGCTTCTAACTCCCAGAATATGACCTTATTTGGAAACAAGGTCTTTGCAGATGATCAAGTTAGGATGGGATCGCTGGGGTAGGTGACATTAGGGAAAGTCGCATGTCTGTGAATTCCAGTACGACTGGTATTGTTATTAAACGGGGAGATTTGGAGACGGGTGCTTGGACACGGGGAGAATGCCATGTGAAGAGGAAGGCAGACATTTATAAGCTGGGCAACATGAGATTGCTGGCAAAACTCCAGAAGCTAGAAAAGAGAAACAGAACAGGTTCTCCCACGCAGGCCTCTGAAGGAGCCAACTCGGCTGACACCACCTGGGCTTCCAGCCTCCAGAACTATGAGACCGTGAATGTCTGTTGTCTAAGCCCGCCCCCCCCCATCCAAGTCTGGGGTACTTTGTCCTTGTAGCCTTAGCAAACTAATACACCATCTATAGAGAGTCTGGTGAAGTATCTGTTTAGATCTTCGACCCGTTTTTTTTCCTGTTCTTGAGTTTTATATTCTTTAAATATTCCAGGTACACATCCTTTGAAGTCAGTTTTGTAGATGAAGAAATGGGTTCAGAGAGGGAAAATAATTTGTGCAAGGTCACATATGCTAGTCTATAGAAGAAGATGTCATTACAGCTCAAGGGTCAGCTCAGCTGTCCTCTCCTTAAGGGAGATTTTCCTGAACTCCCAGGCTAAGTGGCCCATGTACCCCCTGTTCCAATCTCTTATTCCCATCTGTTACATTGAGTGTTAGATGATAGGAACACACCATTATTCATCTTTGTGTCCTCAGCTCAAGTCACATTGCCTTGGGAAATCCCAGGATGTATCTTACTAAGGGGTAACCTTTGCCCAGGGGGTAGACCACCCCTATCAGATTGCAGAGGAAGTTGAATGTCTAGCTCAGAAAATGGCCAGGTTGAGAGTGTTACCATACTCTCAAATGTTTCATTTTGACTCAAAATGTTTCATTTTGAGTCTATAATCATGTTTTCTATGGAAAAGGCAAGAGTAGTTATATACAGGTTAACCTAGATAAGACTTAATTTAAAAAGTTCCCTTTTCCAGAGAAAATTTGATACAGAAATGATTTCATGAAAATTCATTCATTTTATTGATGCTTTATTAATGTTGCCTAGATAAATAATTCTACATATCATAATTTTCACTAATAGATACAAATGTAAATAAAAACAAGCTACTTTTAAATATTAAAAATGTTTTAGCCAAATATTGGTGCACTTATTCTCAAGTGAGCATGTTGTTTGAGACAACTTTAAAGCTACAGAAGATCAAACTTTGTGCTACACTAAATCATACTCTTCCATAATACAATCATTTATCAAAGAAAAAGAAACAATAGGAATGTGATTCATTAGGACATTTTCAGCGTTCATAAATGCAACGTGTTCTTTCTGGTTCACTTACTAGGATCATTCCTCCCCTCCCTTCTTAGCACTTAGTTCACTCTGGAGAAGAAGGACGTATGTAACTTTGCCCCACCCTGAGCCTGCCCCTGCTTCTGAACCCTGACTCCGGGCATGGCCATTAGGTACGTCCTTACCCAAGGTTATCCAGAAGATTCTTCACCGCTGTCAGTCATTTCTAAAACTACTCTAACAAATACCTTTTTCCTTCCCGTAAGTACTGTCTTTCAAACCATGTTCTTCTCTGCATCCAAGCGCTCCATTCTCTGGAACGAGCTCTCCGGCGCTTGTGGGGCTGGAGAGGACAAGACTCTTCAGGAATCAAACCACTCCTAAGCTCAGAGCAAATTCGGTCATTTTACAATCCTTGCCTCAGGCCAGAAAATGAGTAGTGAGTAGGTTAGTTACCTTACTTTGAAAATGGAGAAAACAGGTACAAAATGAGATTAAGGAACTTAGTGTGAATGCCTGACATTTGCTTAGCACTTTTGCTTTTGGGTTACAATGAATCGTATGATCTGATGCTCAAAACGCAGTATTTGTGAACTAAGCAGAGCAAATGTCCTTTTAAGAGTGGAGATACTGGGGCTCGAAGACGTGAGTCATTGGCCCAGGGTGAGGTCATCGGGACCCCAACCTCAGAGCCTTGACTCCCAGCCCACAGACCCCTTGCTGGTTGCACCACAGTTCCTCTTATGAACTTGAACATGGTGAGGGGCAGTGTGACCGCCCTCGGCACCACCAACCACAGTGCACTGCGTAGATGCCCTGAAGTCTGAGGACATGAAGACCACTGTCTTGGATGAGGAATCCATGCATCATTTTCAGAGGTGGGCTAGACAGTCCTGATGTCCTTGATACATGAAAACTGTATGCGAGTAACTGTGTAGTTGCCATAATTAAAAATGTACAGGTACATGATAATAGGAGGCAAGCAACCAAACAGTAGGTTGGGGATTAAAGTAGTTCAGTTGGGAATGTCCATGATTCAACTTTCAGAATAGCATATTAAAGGACAATCTTGGTAAAAGAGCAATACAAAATGGATTTTAAGGTTCTTATTTCTTATAATTAATTTTGCAAATTCACTTTGAAAGATTTAAAAATGATTTGTTTTAGCTCTCCCATAAATTATTTTGACTATATAAAATTGGCTTTGGGGCGCCTGGGTGGCCCCGTTGGTCAAGCGTCCAAGTCTCAATTTCAGCTCAGGTCATGATCTCAGGATTGTGAGATTGAGCCCCATGTCAGCTCTGTGTTGGGCTTGGAGCCTGCATAAGATTCTCTCTCTCCCTCTTCCCCTCCCCTCTTAAAAAAAAAAACAAACTCTGGCTTTTCCCTTAGAAAACTAATATCTGTTAGCTTCCTTTTAAACATGATTTGATGATTAGTAGGCCTCCACTATGGGCGTGACCTTGCGGAAGAATTTATGACCTTGAGAATTTGTATTTTCAAAGATATAGCCTGGAGGAGAAGGATAGCTAGCAGGGCAGACTTCCTGTTTCTTCTGTGTGTACTCTGTAGAGTACATGGTGGTGTCGTCGAACGGAGCAGAACTCTGAAACAGAGCATGCGCGGGTTTGCAGCTCTCCGTCCGAATCAGCTCGTGGGGCACATAGTGAGACCTGAAAGTGCTCCAACCATCGAATCTTCCAGATGGGTTGGAAATCTGCTGCTGCTGCTTAATAAGACCTTGACGACAGCATTCCCAGGCTGGAAAATCTTCCTTTGTGGTGCTTTTTCCTTGAAAAGGGACATTGTTAAATTTTTTCTGAGAAACTGGCCTGATGGGACTAACACGTTTGGTCTGATAGGGAACATAGTCCAGATGGCTTGTGCTGTTTAGCTGCATGGTACCTGCAGGCGGGACATACTCCTGTGGTTTCTTGACTTCGGGTGGTGGGATTTCCCATGGTTGGAAGCTTTCGCGGAATTCCGTGCTTCCTTCAAAATGAGCATTTTGGGTCACTCTGGTGTATGGAGGTCGGCAGATTTTTGCAGTTTCTCCAGGAAGACCCTGAAAGTCATATCGGTGAGTTGTGAGATCCTCAAAGGGTTGACTGGTTGGCTTGTACACTTCTTTTGGCCTTGCAAACTTGAATTCTAGCTGATAAGGTACGTAATCAAGGCGATGACTTGTATCACCATTAAAAGGGACTGTAGAACGTTTGACCACGGGACTGGGTTTAAAGCTTTGCCTGGGCTTTATCTCCTGAGGAACATAGTCATCCTGAAATGTGGTTGAATTTCCAAATTTCATGGTGGGGGGGTGGTAAGCTTGTTCTGGTTTATAAAGGTCAATTTTCTGAATGTCCCAAGCTCTATAATCATCTTGAAAATAAAAAAAGAGAGCATTTAAATACTGCATAAAACAACCATCTTCTAAAAATCATGACTTACTTCCCTCATTGCCAAACATCCTTCCATTTCCTTCAGAAATCTGAACACTAATCAAGTCTGAAGTTGCTCAGATTCCCCTGATTTGTGTTTTCTTCATATCCACCTTCCTCTTCCTATCTCCCCACATTAGTGCATAGAATTTCTACTTCTAGATTTACCTGAATACACAACAAGGGAATGGAACATCTGAGCTTGGATTGTTGATAGTTTTTGAAAGCCTATATTTTGGGTAAAGTCAGAGTTTAGGAGATTATGGTTGCATTTTCCAGGAACTGGTTGGGATTTTCACCATAACACATGAAATGAAAAGAAACCACTTATTTGTGGAGCATAAGAAATAACACGGAGGACATGGGGAGATGGAGAGGAGAAGGGAGTTGAGGGAAATTGGAAGGGGAGATGAACCATGAGAGACTATGGACTCTAAAAAAACAATCAGGGTTTTGAAGGGGCAAGGGGTGGGAAGTTGGGTGAGCCTGGTGGTGGGTATTATGGAGGGCATATGCTGCATGGAGCACTGGTTGTGGTGCATAAACAATGAATTCTGGTACACTGAAAAGAAATTAAGAAAATAAAAAATAATTTAAAAAAAGAAAAGAAACCATAAAATCTACTGATTAACATAAAATCAAAGGCCCTGATGTGTGGGCAAAAGTGATGGGGATATTATTCTTTGCCTTGGAGGGACTCCTCAAATGAAAGAGAATTTCAACCCATTATACTGTAGGAAAGCCTACCAGATTCCCTGAACAAACCTACAGAATAACTTGTACTATCCCAGAAAGATCATTGCCTTCAACTTCAGCTTTTCAGAAAATGGACTTCAAGATATCATCAAAAGACAGAGGGCCATCTAGAGGCCAGAGGCCTGAACTGAGTGCTTTTAAACATACCAGAAATTGTATGTAGAATTTAGAAGTGAATACCAGAGCTAAGTCTAAGATTTAGGGTTAAATACCTTAATTCTGCTTCTTGTGGCATACATAGACCATGGATGGAAAACTGAAGTACTTATATTTCAACCAAGCGTTATTTAGTTTTTTTATTTCTAGATGAGAAAGGTAGAAAGCTAAGAAATACAGTGGAATTGACTTCACCCAAAGAGATGTACACCAAAGGTTAATTTATAAAAGAAGTTATACAAGATGTTTTAGAGTCTAAAGTCCATGTAATGTCTATTGGAAAGACCAAAACTCAAATGCTTTTTACGTGGATTTACTCTCTCCTTTGGAGAGAAAAATCCCTCACTCACAGACATTTCTGCCCCAATGACCAAGTTGTGGAGCAAATGGTTACCTCTACCTCATCAATCTACTGATGTTCATATGAGAGTGGATGTGTGGACCAAGAGAAGACAATCTTCAGGCCAGTAGAGACAGACAAAACAGCCTGGCAAGAAGAGATGAGCTGGGTAAGCCATTCTTGTTCTTGTGAACCCAAATTTGAAAATATGGAAACAGGTAAAAGTAGGAAATGAATCTAAAGTATGCCATGATGTTGTAGTTTGCTCTCATTTGAACAGCTTTAAGCCCATGAGGTGTCTGGATGTGTTTGCTCACCATGAATGTCTGTATGCAGACCTCCATCCCCATCCTTATATAATGAGCTGTTCGAGGTTCCTCTTTGAAGACAAAAGTCTTGAGTTGCACATGTTAGTTCTCTTCCTTGATATTTGGAACTTGTTCCCTGTGACATCTTATAGCACCAAGCCAGGGGGCTCCATCCTGGGGATTTCTTTCTCAATCTATATCTCATCAAACAATCCCCATGGTTTTAATACTACCTGTAAGCTGATGGCTTCCAAAGGTTGAATCTCCATTCCAGACTTCCTTTTGAACACCAACCCCCCATACATATCTTCCTACTAGGTATCTCTATTTCAAGAGGCAAACTGACACTTTGTATGCTCCAAATGAATTATCAATCTTGGAGTTCTAATTGAAATTTTTATTTCATTTACATTTAATGTAATGACTGATCTAGTTGAGTTTAAGTTGACTATATTGCTATTTGCTTCTTTCCAAATGTTTTTTGTTCCCTTACTCCTTATTTTCTGCCTTCTTTTGGATAAAGGGTATTTTTATTATTCCATTTTCTCTGTTAGCATTTTAATTAGAACTTATTTTAGAATAAAAATGCATTTTTGACTAATTAGGGTATATTTTTGGCCTACTTGAATTTAAATTGGTATTTTTACCACTTTTAGAGCAGTGTAAGAAACTTTCAACAGTGTAATTCCATTTACACCTTCCTGTCTTCTGTGCTATTATAATTACCTCTATATTTATGTAAAAATATATAATTATTCTTGTGACTCTAAGAAGTCAATATTCTTTTATATGTACCTATAAAGTTACTCTTTCTGTGTGTTTCTTTCCTTCTGGATTTCATGCTGCCCTCTGGAATCATCTTCCTTCAACCTGAAGAACTTCCTTTACTACTTTTTGTAGTATGGGTTGGTTAATTACAAATTCTCTGGGGTTTTTGTTTGTTTGTTTGTTCCTGGAAACATTTTTATTTATTTTTTGAAGGATATTTTCACTAGACATAAAATTCTTGGATTTGTTGGGTTTAAAGTTCTAGGTTTTTGTTTTGTTTTGCTTTGTTTTGTTTTTACCCTTTCAACACTTTAAATATGTCATTGCATTATCTTTGGGCTTCCGTGGCTTCAGATGAAAAGTTAGGTATATTTCTAATTTTTCTTTTCATAATTAATGCGTAGTTTTTCTCTTACTGCTTTTGAGAATTCACCTTCACTTGGTTTTTGAATTTTGATGAAAGTTGCCTAAGTGTGGTATTCTTTGTATTTATCTGTTTGGGGATTTGTTGAGCTTCTTGAATCTGTGGCCTGATTCAGTCATCAGTTTTGGAAATTTCTTGACCATCAGCTCTCCAGATATTTCCTGACTCTTCATTGGTCTCCTATTTTACCAGATGCTGGGGGTCATGTATAAGTAAACCATAGACATTAAAATCAATGTTATTTTCAATAGGAGAAAGCTTGGTCTTTCCAATTTAGATCACCCTGATCCAATCAGGAGTTGAGCTAGGCTGGTACTCAGGGGCACTTTTAGTTAGACATAATCTTCCTCTGGTTGAAAGGACAAAAGTTGTGGTGTGTTTGTGGTAGAGCCCTCATTCTGTGGGAATTTCCCTTCTAAGCGAGAAGAAAGCTGTACTTACTCCCAAGTACAGCTGTGGGATCCTTCTGGCCCAGTCTCCTAGGCCATCATACCCCCTACACGCTCAGCAAACATCCTACAAGGAAGACCAGCTATACACCTGGAGGACTGATAGGTTCCAGTGTATCATACCAGTCCACATATCACGTGATCCACTCATTTCTCTTTACCCAGGAGAGTCTCTCTGCTTCTGCCATGCTCAGTTTTCCACCAAGGCCCCGGTGTGACCAGTGCTCCGGAGAAGTAAACAGCTGGCTATCGTAGCTTGCAGTCTTGGCAAGTTTATTTGCTTCCACAGCTGTCTAATGCCATTAAAGAGATTTCGTACACTTTAAAAAATTATACATATTTTTAGCTATTGCCGCAGAAATAATGGCTTTCTGCCATTTACTATATCCTCCCTGGAAACAGAACTCAAGCATTTTTAGCAGCTATGAGAAAAACGTTAAGCACTTCAGTCTGGTAATCAGTGCTTCACAGTCTGATCTCTACCTGCATTTATAGAATTATACCCCAATCTCTCAGTTCCTGAAATCCTCTGTTTACAGAACAACCCCTTTATTTTTCTGGCTCTGTGCATTTTTGCTCATTTCATCCTAGTTTTTGTGTTGTCCCTCCCTCTCCTATAGATTAATACTTACTGGTCTCTGATACACTCCCAGGCTGGCCTGAATCTTGTTCAGTCTAAATTTTTGAAACATGACTTGTTCCATTAACTTTCTAGTGAATTATCCTCCTCCCTAATGATAACACATTTATTTATTGCTACTATGGTTAATTTTTTTGCTACTATTGCTTCTTTCCTCAACCATAAAGTATGTTAATACCCACGCTCAGTTCAGATCTCTGTATTCCCTACAGTGCCTAGCACAGAGCAGAGTATCCCTTAAAACATTTACCAACTCCAGTGCTGGTCTGTTCTCATCATCTACATTTCAGTATAAATGACTTTCTAACCTGAGGCTGCTGGGAGCAGATGGGTTTCTGTCTAAGATTAACCTGTCTCATAGAACTGCGCCTCCACAGTCTAGATGCTACCTTCTCACCACAGCCCTACAGGGTTTCCTCTTCCTTTCTCTTTATCATATCCCCTCTGTCTTTCCTCTGTTCTCTGATTCTCGGTAGTTAGTGAGAGTCTCTTCTCATCGTGAGTTCTCACCAGTTACTGACCTGTCCTTAAATAGTTATCTACAAAACCTAGATCGTCACACAGAATGAGTACTGCCTTGGCTCTTAAGATCTCATCTCATGCTTCCATACCTGGCAATATTTCCTCACTAGGAAAGGTCAGAAGCGAGAAAGCCAGAGGGACCCCAGGAACACTGGATTATGGGGGTGGAAGTGTGGAAATCTACAGGAAACCCAGGTAATGAGAAGCTAGAATGTGTGTGTGATGTGTAATTGTCACAGCATCAGGACAATATTACTGATATTTTTTGATAGATTTTGTAGGACAAAAAAGAAAAGAAATTCCTACTGTGGTTGTTAAAATACCCAGTTGTTTTCACCAAACAACTTTATGTCAAGTTGTTATTTTATGTCAAGTTGTTATAGGAGTATCTGACCTCCTCTGCATACCAGGAGATACAGACCTGTAATTGTTTTATGCTAAATTGCATTATAACAATATACTTGTTGACTGTATACATTGTCTTAAAACTTTGCTCCTTGTGTAGCACCTTATGTGCTCACAGCCAAAAAGATGAAAGCACAGTGCTCCCGACCACCCTACTTCTAGGTCATAGCGAACTGGTAAACATGTGTTTGCTTACCCATTGAACTGGTAAGGGCGATATTTGAAGAATACACACGTGTTCAGCTGCTGTCTATTTAAACTATAAACCACTGCTTTTATTGTGGGTGACATCAATTTTATAAAAGGGCTTTATATGAGGACATACCACTCAGCTGTATCACATAATGAAAAGGATACAAACTTAAATATGCAATTACATTATTAACAAAAAATAATAGGTACTAATAAGATGCCTTTAAAAAAAAAAAAAGGTCCTACTCTCCAAGAGCAATAGGGTATTTTAAAATCAGGTTGATTTTTGGAAAGAAACTAGCCTTACATTGTCCAACCCCTGGCCCTTCCGAGTCAGCTGCCGACAGGGAGAAGGTATTTGCCTGCTTCTTCCACGCTGGAAATCTTAGAGGAGCCGGTCTCCTAAGTGGTGCTCCAACATTGTCATTGTGGATAAGCCTCTTTTATTCTGAGTTCAGTATCGGGAAGGACCTGCTTTATCCTTCACCCTAGTCTTTATCACTATAAAGGGAGTATTTGGTTCTCTGACTGCTAACACTTTTGCTGTATCAGTTGGTTCAGAACTTAAATGGTTAAGAGGGTTGCTATTTATTTGACCTTCTGAAAGACTCCAGTACACTCAGTAGAGTTCCAACTTGTTCTGGAACAGAGAGGAAGGAACAGTGCCAAATCAATGTGGCGTAATGTGACATAATGCTTGTCCAATGGCATCCTTTGTGTTTACGGGTGACCCTTTGAACAACACAGAAGTTAGGGGCCCTGATCCCCTGTGTAGTCAAAAATCTGTACAGAACTTTGACTCCCCAAAACTACCACTGGCCTGCTGTTGGCTAGACACTTCAACAGTAGCATAACGGTCAACATATATTTTGTATGTTATACGTATGGTATGCTGTATTCTTACAGCGAAGTAAGCTAGAGAAAAGAAAAGGTTATGAAAATCATAAGGAAGAGAAAATACATTTACAGGACTGGACTATATTTATCGAAAAGAATCTACACATATGCAGGTCAAACCACATTGTGGGTCAACTGTGTATGTTTTTAGGTAGAGAAAATGAATTATGTGGCTAAATTTGGATAGAAATCCAGGTCTTTGAACTCTCAATCAAGCAAATGGTATTTTTTTCACTATACTATGTTGACCAAAACAAAAAAAGTTTTCCTAAGCCATGAGAGCTAAGTTTGGCAACACACCAAATTATGACTGGACATTGGATGGAAGTGAGCCTTAGTTTTTGGGCTCCTTCACTTCTGAAATGGCAAGTTACCTTTATAGGTTGGGACAGTGTCCACCTTTCCTTGTTTAACTCGTTGTCTTTCCAGAGGCCGGACTATGGCCACAGGCTGCACTTTGTAAGAATTAAAGTCCTGTTTGTAGGTAGTGCCGAGATCCATCTCCCCCTGCTTCGGTTTGTATTCTTCTGGCACGTGGCGAGGCTGTTTGACTATCTCATAAGGACGATAATCCGATCTGAAATATATAAGTTTGAAACATAGCCTCACAGGTTTTTATTTCTAATTATCCCAAAGCAGTATTGAAATTTTCAAGGTTTATTTCAGTTGAAAAGTCCAAGAAGATAGTAAAATGGTGATAGTTGTTAAACTACTGAAAAGAAGTCATTTAATTCCTTTATGTCCTGTCTAGTGACTAACGTCTTAAGAAATACGTCAAAAATCCTAGTTTTCAAACATCATTAGGATGTGGATCTTCAGCTGATTGGATCTTACGTAAATAACATCTTTTTTTTTTTTTAAGATTTTATTTATTTATTTGACAGATGGAGATCGCAAGTAGGCAGAGAGGCAGGCAGAGAGAGAGGGAGAAGCAGGCTCCCCGCCAAGCAGAGAGCCCAATGTGGGGCTCGATCCCAGGACCCTGAGATCATGACCTGAGCTGAAGGCAGAGGCTTAACACACTGAGCCACCCAGGTGCCCACATAAATAACATCTTTAAGTAACTCAGTTTTTTCCTAACATGGAAGGAAATCTTAGGTGAAAGATTTCATGAGTCTAAGGAAAAAAATTTAAAATATAACCCCTGGGTCTACTTTGTCAAAATCCTTATTCATCCTAATTAAAAACTAAGCTCTTTGGGCATGCTCTCCTCTTACTGAAATCATGCCATCTTCCTGTTTATTATTAAAAGAATCAATTAAATAAATTATTAACATCTAAACTCAGGCCTTCAGTCGTAAATCACATTCATTATATGGATGTGATTCTGACTCATCTTGGGACCTGCGAGAAGCCCTTGCCATGGATGAGAGCCATAGCGCAGTCCAGCCACCGTGGGCATGCTAGAACATTCTGTGATGGAAATGGTGCTGCAGACACTGGGGCTGTCTGCTGGGGTACAGACCCAGAGTGACCAGATGGCCTGGGTCCAAATCCTGGCTCTGTCGTTCACTGGATGGATGACCTTGGGCAACTTAGTTAACCTGGCCAGGCCTCCGTTTCCTTCTACGAATGAGGACAATCGTGTCATCTAGCTCATGGGGCTGTTTTATGGATGGGCGCACACACACACACGTGAGCACATGTGTACGAGAGCTTGGTACACAGTAAGGGCAACATGTCAGCTACTGCTGTTATGACTACACGTCTTCAAAACTGTGTTTTTTCTGGTGAACTCTACTGACCGTGTCCCTCATTTTATTGGTTTAAGTCACCTTGTATTAATCACTATTCTCAATTTATGTCCCCAAGCTCCTGAAACCAAAAGACTCGCTGACTCCCTTCTCCTTCTCAGGATGTGATTTTCTAGACTTGGCTCCTTTTCCTCAGCCCCATCCACCCATGTCAGGCCGGGGTCCAGCGCTGCCTGACGGGTCACAGTGACTTCTCTGTGACTGAGTCCCTTGGACGTCTGTCGTCCTCCTCCCCGATGGGCATTGCTGCCCACTCCCTGTCTCCAGGAGACTCTCTCCTCCTGCCTCCCTGCTGGTTTCTCCTGAGTCTCTGATGCAGCTTCATCCCCATCTCCTCGGCCACGAACCGCCGGGGGTTTCTCAGCACTTGGGCCTGTAGTCGGTCCTCTTCTCCTGCAGTGCTCCCCCCCGAAGACAGCTCTACTCCCACAACTTCCATCCCTCCCGAAACAGAAATGACGCACCAATTTCTCTCTTCGCTCAGACCCTTCTCTGAGCTCCCTACCTGCACTTGCAGAACCTCACATGCCCCCAGCCGACCTGGTCCGTTTGCTGGTGCCCATCGTAGCCAAGGGCATCACCACAGGGACCCCGATCTCGTCCCTCACACCGCGGCTCCTTCCTGTAGCTGCCCCTTCGTCAACTGCCATCACCTTCGCCTCCTCTCAAATCTCACCGTTGTCTCTGTCATTACCACAACAGTCCAAACTCCCACAATAGCTCATTCGAATCAAATCAACAATTCCTAAACTCATTTATCTGCGTCCACTCCAGCTTCTCTCTGTCTTTCCTCATCTGGTGCCCAAAGGGATCCTTTCACATGCAAATTGGACACGTCCTTCCTGCCCTGAGCGGCCAGGCCTCTTCCTTAACCCCCTTCTCCACCCCCTCAAAATACAAGCAGGCAGGCAGACAAATGAGCAGGAAAAGGAACCTTCAGTGGCCTCTTACTGCTCTAAGGACACAGAAACACCACACATGGCCCCTTCGCTGGTCCCTTCTTCTTGCTTTCTGCGATTTCCTTTCCTATTTCCTGCAGTCAACTGCTTCACACCCTTCAGGATTCCACACATGAATCCATCAGAATCCGAGAACACAGGCAGTAACCTCTTCAACACCGGCCACACCAACTTCTTTCAAGGTATGTCTCCAAAAGCAAAGGAAACAAAAGCGAAAATGAACTTTGGGGACTTCATCAAGATCATTTCCCTGATAAAGTCAAATCTTTTATTCGGCCTCTCAAGTCACCTCGTGCCTATCCTTCATGGATTTTCTCCCCAGAGCGATTTTGTGTTTATTTTGAGGGACACCTTGCCCCCCTGACTAGAGCGCAGGGCCCGTGAGCACAGCCACCGGGATCCCCTGACCGCTCTATCCCCGGGGCTCAGCACCGTGCCTGACACTTAACAAGCACTTACTAAGTATTATTTAAGAGATAAATAGTAGAAATCACATACCTCTTATTCTCAAGACATCTGAGTTGTTCTTTGTTCTTCCCGAATACCAGCTAGAGGGACAGAGGCTAAAATGCAATCAGGGAGTGCAAGAATCGGGGGGGAGGACAGAGAGAAAGCTTAGAAGTCTTGGTTTCCCTGGTGAGAGTAAATGTTAGGAAGTGTACCGCCACACCCAAAGCAGCTTTCTGTGGAGGAGGGTAATGGGTAAATACACTCTTAGTCATCGGATGTGTCCCCAAACACAGGACACGTCCATAGCCATCCTTCCAGGGCAGGCTCCCCGCCAACTCTGGCGGTCCTCGAACCGCACTGAACATACTAATGTGCGTCCAGACATCTGGAGTCTTGTCCTCTAGTCTAGGGAAGCATCCAATGACCCTTTATTCTCCGTGCAGGTGCATCGGCTTCCTGCTGCCTGGTCAGCACAGCGGACAGGAGGGAGTGAAGGAAGGGCTCCAGCCCCCCGGCGTGAGGCTCCGGGAAATACTGCAGTTCCCCGGTCTAAATACAAAGAAAAGATGCAATATTTTCCTCGGTGAAGAGATGATGATTTAAGAAACGGAAATTTTAGTTTTATTGGCATAATTGGACTTTTTGGGAGTTGGGAGACCCTTTTCTTTCTTTTGGTGTTGTTCGTTTGGCTGGTTGTTTTTTGTCTTTTGGTTGTTGTTTTTTTTTTTTTTTTTAAACTATGAAGGGATACTGAACAAGTCAACTGACAAACCCAGAATGGAAAAGCAAGTACCTTTTTAAATAAGGATATGGCACATTATACTTTCCCAATTTCTATATTTAGAACTAGTTAAATGCAAAATAGTAAAAAATGTGAAATCTCCATGGAGCCATTAAGGCACGGAGGCAGAATGAACGGTTCGGAGACGAAAAAGGAGCAACCACGCCCGTTTGCTCATCTCAGGCACTCAGTCTCTTTATCTCATGTGCTTTCATGTGTCTTGTTTACTTATCTGCAGTTTTGTTTTCCAACTGCCACTCCCACAGGGCCGCGAGCCACAGCAGGGCACAGTCCTTCTTTATGTCCCAAGTCCCACCAACGGTCAGTACTAGTACTTGACCCTTTTCACTGGGAGATGGCGACAGAATGGCCAGCGATGCTGGTTAAAAAAGCAGATTCCTGGGGTCCGCTCGGTTATCTATTGACTGTTTTAGGTGGAACTCTGGAATCTGCAATTTTAACCCTTCCGGATGATTCTACAGCACACCAAGTCCGAGGGCTGTGGAAGATTTTCAGGTCTGTGGGCGAGCTGCACACCTACAGAAGTCAAGCCGTCAGCAAGGCCCTGTTACTATAAGAGCCGCCTGGACCGTGAAAGGTAGAAGCATCGGACTAGAAGTGGGAAGGTTTCAACCTTTGCTCATGCAAGTAGAATAAGCTCCATCTAAATGATATGAAAACTTGTAATGCAGCAAATTAAAGTTATTATAGAGCATTGTAAACCCCCAATTATAGAAATCTGATGTATGCATTCCTTGAAAGCAGAAACCTCTATTTATTGATCTTTTTGTACTTAACATGTAAGACTGGCCCTTGAATATGGTACGTACATTAACAGAATTAGGAAAAGAATTAACCCATTGATGAACATATGAAACAATTACAAAAAATAAAAAATAAAAAGAGCTAAGTCCAAATGAGGAGTTTAGGCTTAGGAGGATTTTTTGGGTCTATAATCCACTGAATAAATATTGAGTACCTATGAGGTGCTAGCAGGCATCGTACTAGGTTTCTGGAAGTAGAAAGCTCAGATAAGAACAGACACAGTCCCTGCTTGTGTGGGCCTCTGGAGTGGATCCATGATGAACAGTAGGAAGATGTTTTGAGCGCTTACACAGGGGACTGTTACCCAGCCTGAGAACTGGATACACGTGTGTCAGAGGCTTTCAGAGTGATAACTGAGTTAAGATCTATAGGTTACATGGACATTAAGTGGGGTGAAATTTCCAAGTAAGTAAAATAGTATATTAGAAGGCTCCATAGCAAGGGAATCCTGATATTTTCAAGAAAAGAAAAATGTCCTATGGGATGTGAGCATTAAAGAGCACAGTGAAAATAAATTAGAAAAGCAATTAAGGACAAAACCATGAAGGGATTTTGGTATATATTAAATACAGTGGGCAAGTAGAAATATTTTAAGCAAGGAGGTGATTCGGATTGGAACTGCATTTCAAAAAGATCATCTCTGCAGGCTGAAGTATAGGAAACAGATCAGAGATGTAAAAACTCGAGCAGAGACAGAAAAAACAGGAGGTTCCTGTATTTCTCTAGTTGGAGATGACAGTATAAAGCAGAAAAAAGAGATTTTAAGTATTTTAAAAAAATCAATAAAACTTTTCATTTCCCTTTTCCCTTCTTGCTTTCTGTCATTCTAACTTAATTTTTGTCTTTCTGTTTTTCTCAAGTTGAGACTGGACTAGTTCCTTGCTTCTTGAATTCGTTCAACTTCGATCAACTTAATAGTTCACTTTAAAGAGTTAAAAAACTTTATTAAGACCAGAAGAGTTGGGAGAGAAGTAGGTAAAGCAGTTAGTTTAATATTTACTTAAATGTTGTTATTCCTTCCATTTTACCACGGCCTGCTCGGAATTCTTGCTTGGGTTTAAGACTCTGAGGTGGAGGAACATTGCCATACGTAGGGTATTTTTCCAAATATTCAGTGGTGGGGCAAGATATGCCAGAATTTTCATAAATCCTTGAGGCTCCACGTGGACAGTGATGTCGCCTGTGCAAACACAAATAAACTGAAAGATTATTCTGACTTCCCAAAATATTTTAGGATAATTGTATCTTAATCAGAGAGATCTTCAATACACACAGACTCTCTAAATGTAAAAGCAGTTTTCCTAAAACACAAACACAAAATACCTTCTGTATATTCTGCAATGGTATTTATCAAAACAAGAAAAATTGATGTTATATCCTTTGTGGTGGAGACTCTGGTTTCCTCTGACAAAGATTTGGAGGGTCTCTTGTACTAAGAAGCTGAAAAGCTCACGAGCACGGCTCCCGGGGCCCCCGCCCGCAGGTTCCACGCAATTTGGCTTTCACCTGTTGGACATTCACCTGCTACTCTGACTCAGACAGTGCTATCTAGGGAGGGGGGAGCGCGCAGCCCCGCTGCTGGCAGCATTGTGGGGGTGGGACAGAGGCTGGAGCCCTAGGTGTCCGGAAGCATTCAGGTTTCCAAGGTGCCTTCCCGACCCACCGGCAGCTCCCTGACCTTGGCGGTAAGGGGTGGTTCTGAGGCCTACAGCTCAGCTGCAGTTTCCTGGTTGTTGGCCGAGGCAGGGGCTCCCTTAGCAACCCAGGGCTGAGGTGAGATTTTGGGGAATTTTTCCTGAAAAGTTTATTTTGGAAACTGTTTCTTCGGTTCTTCCAACAATTCTGTGAGCCACACATACTCCTTAGTAAGTTCTTTTATTTCTGGGCTAGGCCGCAGTAGATGATATTGTCCATAACGCGGAGTCCTGACCAATATATCATAAAAGCTGACAGCGCACAGTGGTTGCAGACAATGGGGTTCACCATTAGGTGTGGCCGTTGCAAGATGCAGAAATTGTAAACAGTGAAAAAGTGGGTTGTAGAGTATAGTATGATGGTATGCTGTTTCTCCGTTTCCTTTCGGAGGACTTGTAAAGCAAGTCTTAAAGAACATTTATGGTGGGGACTATGATTATGAGGGATTTTCACTATATTGTACATTTTTTGCCTTGCATTTTCATACCATGCCTCATGTATATTCATTTCATACTCAGAAAAAAAAAAAAGAAAAAGAAAAACTTCTTAACAAGACAGAAAAACCCAAGCAAACAACAGAAAAGTAACATCCCACAATGCTGAAATAGGAGGTCAGCTTCTCAGATCCGATGTCATTTGGGGACCCGAGCTATGTGCTAGGGCTAATAGTACAAGCCCAGGGAAGGCTGGATTTGAAGAAAATGCATATGCTGTGCCGATGCAATCAGAACTGGCGAGGGGATCGGAACTCAGTGAACCCTCAGGAAGAACACAAGAGATTAGCTGCTCTGCTTGGAGGGTTCTGGACAAGCAGAACTGCGGCTTAGAGGAGAGGGAAAACACCGTGTCGCGGCTCTTCAGGAAAATTCCAAGTCAGAGGGGTCGAGAGATTCGGGATTGCTGGCTGGCCGCTGAGGCTTTGGGAAAGTCCTGAAGTGACTTAGCGCCACACCTGATCTCTTGGGAAGCCCAGGGACAGGGTGATTAGGTCATGCATGGAGGTCCTGCTAGGGGTGCACCGGGTTACGAGAATCAAGTCGAGCGAGGCACTGGAGTTTCTCGTCGTTCTTAGTTTTATTTTCCAGCAAAGGCATACGTTCACCTTATAACAAAACAAAAACACTGAAAAGCTTATAAAGGAAAGCAAAAGTCTCCTGTCCCAACGTTTCCCGTCTCTAGAAAAGAAAAAAAACTTTCCGACGATCTCTCCTTTTTAGTTTTTCTGGAGGCTGCGTCGGCTGGTTAATTTTTTTCCGTGCTTTGAACATCTTGATTGATCCGCTTAAATGACCTCCCAGACACGAGACGGACTTGGCGGACACCACCGCACTCACTTCCCGCTGTCCCGGGGTCGGTCGTTCGTTCCGCGGCACCCACGCGCTCCTGGCACGGACTCAGCAGTGACCCGTCCCGGGGCCAGCCGGAGGCTGCGGGAGGACACCGCGTTTACAGGCGTGGGAGGCTGTCAGGCGGGCACAGGCGCCCAGTCCCGGTTTCAGGCCGCAGCCACGCCCCTCTCCGTCGGGCGGATCCCGAAGGGAGCCCCGCCTGGAGCAGACCCGGCCGCGGTCGGGCTCGGGGGAAGAGCGGCAGGCGGAAGGACGCACCGCACGGGCTCAAAGCCCATGCACTGGCCCTGCGTCCTCCTCCTCCCTCGTTCCCCCGAGATGTCCGGAGCGTCCACTGTCCCGCCGGGATCCGATCGCACCCCCGGGCAGCCGGAGGACCGGCGGCTCCGGCGCTCGCAGCCCCCGCCCGACCCGCGGGCGCTCAGCCGGCGGGCGGCCGGGGGTCTAAGAGCTGGGGAGGCTCGGCTCCGGAGCCGGGCCCGTAGGAGGGGCGGGCGGAGGCTGCGGAGCGGGCGTCCGCGTCGCTTCATCTCCGGGGGCGGCTGCGACGAGGCTCCGGCCACCCGCACCCCGGCCCGCCGTCGCGCTGGCCGTTCCTTACCCGCAGGTGCAGATCTGACACAGACACCGGCTCCTCATGCTCTCGGCGGGCGGCTGCCGCCCCGCGGGCCCTCAGCACTCGCGGCTCCGCGCGGCCGAAGCGCCCGCGGTCGTCAGGGCAACCGCAGGCGCCAGGGAGACCGACGCGGCGCCGGCTTCCGGCGCGTCAGAGGCGCGCGCGGGTCAGAGGTCGTGCGCCCGCCGGCTCCGCCCCCCCCAGCGCGCGCGTCCGGGACCGCAGGGCAGTCGGCGCCTGCGACGCGTGCGGTGCGGCCGAGCGAGGGCTGAGCGGAGCCGAGTAGGACGGAGCTGGACGGGCGGCGCGGCCGCAGCCGGTGAGTGTGAGCGCGGGTCCGCGCTGGCGGCCGGCGCCCTCCTCGGCAGGCTGCGGGCGGCGGCGGGCCGGGGGTGCCGGGTGCCGGGAGCCGGGGCGAGCGCGGGCTGGGAGCGGCTGCCGCCCAGAGCCGTCGGGTCGCCCCGGGGGCCCGGGACCGCCGCCTCTGTGAGTGTGTGGACGCGCGATCCCGGGGACAGCGAACGCGGGTCCCAGGGAGGGGAAGGGACTGGGCGGGGGGCCGACCTTCCTTTCCGGAGCCCGGTGGTGCACCTGCCTGGTGAGGGAGCGTGTGAGCCGGGACTTTCTTGGGGCGCCGCGGGCGGTGCTGGAGCCGGGAGTTTGGTCTCGGGTGAGCGCGGGCGAGAGTGCCAGAACGACGGTCCTGGGGGACGATCGCGGGGCGGAAGGGAGAGCTGTCCGCGTCTTCCCTCTCTCCTGCAGACGACCCTTCCCACGGGGGACAGTTGCCTGGGAAGGGCCTGTCTGGCGGCAGTTACTGGTGTCCCCGCCCCGGCGGGCTCCCGGATCCCGCGCGCCCGCCCAGCCCCAGAGCGTGAGCGAGCTGCGTGATGCCGGCGTGCTGTGGCCTGCGATTCCGAGCGCGGACTGGACTTGGGCCTGGGTGGGTGTGTCCCCTTCCGCAGACGTTCCTTGGGTTCCCAGCTTCAGGGACCTGACAAGTCCTGTCAGCTCCTGCGTGAGAGGAAGAAAAGTGTCAGGCCCTGCTCTTAGGGCGTGCGCCATGTGTGACGCTTCCCTGATGTTTAGTCACAGGAAATAAGGGACCATGGTGCTCGGCGGTTTGGATAAGATGATTCACCTGCAGAAAAACACTGCTCACATCAGGAACATCTGCGTTTTGGCTCACGTTGACCATGGTAAGACTCCTTTCTAAATGGGCTGTTTTCAGTAATTAAGGGGGTGTGACTCCACATGTGTCAGAAGCCAGTATGACTGTAGGAGTTTAATGACTTTAGGGACGCTGGCCATAAAGCATTTCAAGCGAACACAGCTAACTGGTGATTAGCATTCTTTATATGCTGGATTTCATTGCTTCAAATTTTTTAAATTTTATTTTTAAAGATTTCTATTGATTTACGTATTTGAGAGAGAGCCAGGGGAGGGGGAGGGGGAGAGACTCTCAAGGGGACTCCCCGCTGAGCAGGGGAGCAGGGGTCCCGACTCCCAGATCCAGAGGTGGGGCTCAGTCCCATGACCCTGAGATCATGACCTGAGCTGAAACCAACAGTTGGAGGCTCAACCGACTGAGCTCCAGTGTCCCCGTATCATTGCTTTTTTAAAATGAGGACTTGAGTTTTTGTTGAAGTGAACATTTCTGAAGTGGATTTGTAGTATAAAGAGTCGTAGTCTCGACATGAGGTCTTCAGAGCCTGTGTTAGGTGACTCTGTTCAGCTCATCAGGTCTGTACTGAACATCTGTTAAATTCAAGTTATTTTGCTCCGTGTGTCAGAAGGTGGGAACTTACAAAGAGGGCAACAGTCGAGCTCTAGAGGAGATTTGGGGGTTGAAGCAGCCCAAGACGAGGGGCAGACAGGGGACTCTGAGGGGTGGGAGAACTGGGGGATTGGGAAGGCAGGAATCGGTTAGGAAGAGGCTTCACGCTGTATTTAGTATTAAAGGTGACCCTTGAAGGGAGACTCAAGCTGACAGGTGGGGCACACGTCCCAAGTGGGAGTAGCATCGGTAGGGAAGAAGGAAATGTGGGTGACGGGAGCACAGTTCCTGGGAAGGGGGGAGATAGCTAATGGGGGATGTGTGTGCTTCTGACACACTGCTCTCACACCATCACATTGCTTCCTGCCCTTGATTTCAAACTCCTTCTTAGCTTGGGTACCCACAAGGTGATAGGAGGGCGTGTGTGAAGTGAGATCTCTTTCCCGAGAGGCAGGCTGGGTCAGGGCCCCTAGAGCCCTTCATGTCAGCTGGGCACCAGGCTTAGGGTTAAGGGCTCCAGCCCTGGAGTTGGACAGCCTGAGTTCAGACTCCATTTCAAGCCACTTCACCTTTCTGAGCTTCAGTAAGCAACGCCTAGACTGGGCTGTAGATCCTACCCACCTTACAGGATTGTGGGGGATGAAATGAGGTGATCATGAGAAGCCGTTGGCCAATACACGCTTTATTGTGAAGGCAATCATTTACAGTTATTATTAGGTTGTAGGGAGCCATTGGGAGAACGAAACAAAGCAGGACTGTTGTAACCAGCACATTAGGAAGACGAGTCTGGTGGACCTGTTCATGTGCATGAGAGGCAGAGATGAGGTTAGTGAGGCGGCTGTTGCCACTGAGGCAGGAGCTGCGGGCTAGTGTGGGGACTGCGGGAAGGAGAAGTGGTGGCTCACGAGGTCACCGAAGCCAGCTGAGAGTGCGTGGTACGTACAGTTCCATCACTGACCCTCTGCCCTCTTGAGTTTTCATAATGACTCTGCTCACATTTTGAGGACCTGTGGTCTGACAAAAGCATTTGTTCTTTTGCTTTGTGAATTAAATCACGTGGTTTCTGGTCCTAGGGATACAGGACCTAGGGATACAGGAAAGAGAGTGCAGAAAGATAGTGCTTTCTGGGCTCTTAACCCTCCAGGGGGTACATGCTTGCCATACTGAGAATGAGTTCTACTCCATCGGATCATAGGGAAGTGGCCCCCTGGGATTGTGCGGACACGCAAGATGTCCATGCCCAGCGGACGACACGTTAAAGCCCTTCAGTGCTCCCTTGGTTGCCTTCTGGTTTGTACTATTACAGATTCATAGCTTTGCTCAAGTCCCCAGAGTGTTCCAGGACTCACTGGTTGTAAAGAAAAGCCCCTCCTTTTGGTGCTGCAGCCCAGCTGCGGTAACTGTGTAAGCAGCACTCTCGGAACAAAGTTATCTGCCACTTCAAGTTGTGTGGACGTCATAAAACCTTCATGAAACTCTGGGTGTGTACTTGAGTATGCAGAGGCTTTTTTACTACATGGTGGCTCCCTGGCTTCTGTTTGGCTTCCAGGTAACTGGGAGTAGCTCAGTTTAGCTGGTGCCCTCACAGTAGGAGCTTAGGGCACATTTCCTGAATTTCTTTGCTAAGTATTTTCTTAGTTTAACTGGCAAACACCAGCCAAGGCAATACGTGGGGAAATACGGCAGAAGATTATGTTCTGTTTCTTGGCTGTGGTTTACCCAGGATGCCGTTGAGAGATGAAAACGAGTGCTCTGCTGTGCCGTTGCTGTTCTAGGCTGCCAGGAGTGTAAGGTAGTAGCATGATCACTGTTACGGATATCAGATGAGTAATAATTAAGATGAGCAAGGTCAGATTCTTGTAGGACAGAGATTTACTAACTACGTAAACGCTGTTTATCAGATGATCTCTTTTGATTGGCATGGTGGCTTCTCTCATCACCTGGGAGTCTGCATTTGAATCTACACATGATGCCTCTGTTTAGAAAAAAAAAAAAAAAATTTTACCCTAGGGGGGAAAAAAGTCACTTGACAACTTTTCAGGTGAGGGCGATGGGCTCCCTTGGGATGGAGGTACAGATTACAGCACTTTGAGCGCTCGAGTCTGTGTCCATCCAGATGGTGTTCTGTTGCGAAGCCTGAGTGCTCCTTAGGTCTTGCTGCGCTCTGTGTAGGTAAATAGAAAATCTCTGTGAAACCAGTTCTCACGGTCAGAAGGTAGCTCTGTAAGTGCGGTACATCTCCCTCCCTGTTTAGAAAAAGAGAGATTCGAATCAATGTTGTTGTTTTAACAGGAAAAACTACTCTGGCTGACTGTCTTATATCCAGCAATGGAATCATCTCCAGCCGCCTGGCAGGCAAGGTAAGTTGTTCTATTTGATGAATACTTGTCGTCTTTCAGTAAGCATTAGCTGTCTACAATGTGACGTGTTCTTAGAGATCCCAAAAAAGTACAGCTTATGTGTCTAAGAAGCTGCTGATCTATTTAGCAAGATAAAATAGATGTTGGGAAAAAGTTCATCTTATATTGCTTTCTATGAACATCTTACAAATGCAAAATGGGTTTTTGCAAGAAGTCCAGTGATAGCCTGGCACAATTGTGGAAGATTCCACAGAGGACGAGGTTCTTCCTGGGGATGAGCTGTGTGGATTGAAGAGAAGGCGGAGAATGTCCGGTGGGGGGATAGGTGGGTGAAGGCGATCGGGGATAATTGGTGTGTTGTGCTTGATTTGAGTGGAGCGTTTGCCAGGAGACTACCACAGAGGAAAAATCAGGGGTGGAGAGGATGTGTTGGGTCATAGAAGAACTTGAAGGCAAACTCAAGTACCAAGGGAGGGCTCCCGAAATCTGAGTGTCATGATGAAAATAGTGTTTTAGGGAATGAAATTAAAGAGATACTGTTTCTAGCTGTGAGTGAAAGGACATGGACTAAGTTACTGGCAGTAGAGAAATGGAGGTGTTCCTTCCTTTAAAGCATTTAGGACACAATGCGCAGAATTTATCAGGTGACTGGGAACGGAGAGGAGAGCAGGTAGAGAAGCAGAAATGAATAGGAAGGTAGCTGTAGGAGACCGGTGTCGGAATCGCGCATTGGAGGCAGGTGGCGTGGGGACTGGCCTAAAGGGGCCACGCGGAGGGAGTGAGGAAACCAGGCTGCGCGAGATAAGGAACCGCTTGTGTTTTCTCTACCTGAGAAGTTTGCAAAGTGCAGTAGCTCTAGAGTAGACAGAAGGAAGTAATAAAGCACATGTTAATGAAGTAGAAAACATATTTTATAGAAAAGGTCAATGAAGCCGGAGTCAGTTCTTGGAAAAGATTGACATAACCA